AGCAGACGGCAGCTGTCCCCACGTGGCCCCCGAGGAGGTCCTGTTGCATGACAGTGTCACTGGGAAAGGGCTGAATCCCACCTGCCATCTCCTCCTTTTCCAGCTGTCATTCTGTCCAAAATTCAAACTAAAAAGCCAACTCTTCCAAAGTTCATCTTTGCACCTTCAACAATTAGCCAGATTTTTGACACTGTAAAATGTGGGATTTTCCAAACTACAAATGCGGAATGTTCCATGTTGTAATGACCTATTCTTAATCCTACATAGACGCTGAACTTAGGCTTCCGTGTGCGGGAGCGTGAGGAGCGGCCATGGGCACAGGCGTGGAGTCACACGGGCTTGGAGTGCAGTCCAGCTCATTCACTCACCCTGTACATATTAATGTTTGTTCTTGCTACCACCCAAGGACTGCTTCACCACATCCTAATTGTGTGACTTTGGACAAGTCATCTGTTTCCTTGTCCATAAAATGGGAATAATCGCAAGGCTGAAGTGAGGAAGTCCATGGCAGTGTCTAGACCCCACTCAGGCCCTAAATAAAGTGTGTCTTTTCTCTTCTTCAGAGTCTTTGACAACTGATACATTATGTAAACCTTCTCAGCCAAGGAGCTCAATGAGTTATACCATTCCACCCTGCAAATCCCTAATAACCCTTGTTAATAATGCTGAGTCAAAAAAGACCTTCCCAAATGAGACCTAGAAGAACCTAGAAGTAATAGAGATTTTAGATTTAATATATTTAAACATATTAAACACAAAGAACAGAAATTTATTTCTCACAGTTTGGGAGGCTGGGAAGTCCAATTGAGCCCTAAAACGTCTGTCCTCTGGGACCTAGCATAGTGAAAAAAGCAGCTGTGTGTTAAAAGTGGTTGAGCACAGTCCTGGTTGTTGCACTGATTTCTAACGGGAGCTCCATCCCCGTCGACAAGAAGCACGACGCAGCAGCCCAGCCGTGCTCTGGAGCCCACTCTCTGGGGAGTACGGAGCCCGCCAGCTCTGTAAGGCTTGGGGACGTGACCAGAGGCTCTGTGGCCAAAGGCATTTTGTATAATTCTTAGAAACATAAAAAGCAGGGGCAAAGAGGAAGGTGAAGAAATAAAGAAGGCCTATCACCCTATCTTCTTCTCTCTACACCAGCTATGTTCAGCCTCTTTCATCTCACGGCACGCAAACTAATTACTAAAATTCTGCGGCACACCAAAAAAAATGTTACATTTTTTGCCAATCTGACAAAACAAATAGGTATAATTTTGATTCATTCCCACCAGATGGCTATCATTGTGTTGGCTGTTGTCATTTCTTTAAATTGGCAATGTAAGGGAAAAGAGGTCAGTGCCCCTGACTAAATAGTCAGGTATTGCATGTGCTAAAAATTCTTGCAACAGCCTGGCCGTTGTGGCTCAGTGGCTGAGCGTCGCCTGTTCAATTCCCGGTCAGGGCACATGCCCTGGTTGTAGGCCAGATGCCCAGTGTGGGACATGCAGGAGGCAGCTGGTTGATGTTCTCTCTCATCTGTTTCTATCTCTCTCTCCCTTTGTCTTTAAAAAAATCAATAAAGAAAAAAAAATTTTTTTTTAATTCTTGCAACAGGCCTGGCTGGTTTGGCTCAGCAGTTAGAGCATCAGCCTATGGACTGAAAGGTTGTGAGTTCGATTCCCAGTCAAGGGCATGTACCTGGGTTGCAGATTCGATTCCCCAGCCCTGGTTGCAGAAGGCAACCAATCAAGGTGTCTCACATGGATTATTCTCTCTCTCTCTCTCTCTCTCTCTCTCTCTCTCACACACACACACACACACACACTCTCCCCCACCCCCACCCACACACACACTTCTGCTCAGTGTAAAAATCAATGGAAAAATATCCTCAGGGGAGGATTAATAAATCAATCAATGATTCTTGTGACACACCAGCTGAACGTTGCTGCCCTATCATTTAGGGGATCCTTTCTCATCGCAGGGGGGCACTTCTTCCCTCACACTGATCTGGGCTGCGACAAATCTGCGCTCTACGCTATGTCCATGGCTAACAAGTCCACTGAAAACCAACTGAATGTACAAATCTCAGTGCTCGTGCTGAAATCTCTCCAGAATAGTCATCCTGATTTCAAAGCTGGTTTCAAAGTTTGCAGCGTCAAGTGTCAATCAGAACCGAAGATGAAACACTAATGAATGTTGAATTGTCATGCTTTAGGTGTACTTCCTTTATAGAGTTTTCAGTTCTCTGCTATTTTATGTACTGTTTCATTTAAACATTTGTGGGATTGAAATAAAGTTGCAGTATAAAAAAAAGAAAAAGAAAAGAAAATTGCTGCTCTAGTCGCCTGATCATGGTTAACTTCTCCCAAAAGGTAATCTGAAGAAGTAAGAAAAGCTGCCTCAACTAAACATCGCTGTCTCTCCCTGAATTCTCTGCCAACGCAAAGGCTCCTGTCACATGGAGGGAGCTACAAGAAAGAGGACATGATGGAAACTGTCCTACTGACTTCCCAAAGGCAGATAAGAAGCAGGAGCCACTGGCAAGGTTACTCTAAAAGAGTGGTTCTCAACCTTGGTGCACATTGCAATCACCATGAGAGTTTAAAAAATACTGATTGTGCACCCCATCCCCAGAGATTGTGGATTAATTAGTATTGGGTGGGTACTGGGCATTAAAAAAAAATGTTTTAAGTTCCTTGATGACTGTAATTCATGGCCAGAGTTGAGAACCTGCTGTGGTTTGGCATAGGGTCCCAAGCACCAATGCATTGATACAAAACATGGTCTCCTAGGTAGATGACTGGTCACTGAAAAGAAATGAGTATCAATCTGAGAGAAATATTTTAGGAAAAATCTAGGTAGGATGATTCATACTCGAGGTATGACTTTGGTGCAGTAACAAAGTATCTCTAAATTCATAGGAGATATGAAACCGGTTAAAGGGATTTTATTTATTTATTTTCTTTATTGATTTTAGAGAGGAAGAGAGAAGGGAGAGAGAGAGATAAAATCGATAAAGAGAGAACTCTTTTCGCTGCCTCCTGCATGCCCCCCACTGGGGATTTGGCCCACAACCTGGGCATGTGCCCTGACCAGGAATCGAACCGGCGACGTCTTGGTGCATGGGTCAATGCTCAACCACTGAGCCACACTGGCCGGGCAGGATTTGATCATTATTAACACAAAGAATAAAACAAAGGCCCAGTCGGTGTGGCTCAGTGGATTGAACATCTTCCCATGGACTGAGAGGTCCCGGTTCAATTTTCTATCAGGGCACATGCCGGGGTTGTGGGCTTGATCCCCAGTAAGGGTATGCAGGAGGCGGCCAATCGATGTTTCTCTCTCCAAAAAATAAAATTTAAAAAAACATATATATTTTTTTAATGCTGGTCTTTAAAAAAGAAAAAGAAAAAACAACTGTACACTCAACCAAGTGAGTTTAACAGAGAAGTTCCCCCTCTAAACTTGGAAGAGTTTTCAATGAGGGGAAAGCTGTCAGGAGCAGTGGGTAAAGCAAGCGTCACTCTTTTTTGCCAAATTGAAAAGAATCTACAATAAATATCCACTATGTCTTACAATGATCATAGAATATTTATTCCACAGGGGCTTTTCAGAGAATAGAATTAAAGTCAATACAATATTGATTTTAATCTTTGTGAACTATATCCCCAAATATTTATATATGACTTTTAAATGTCAGAGCTATTCAAACAATGGAACATACCCTCTTCCCTTAGTGAGACAAGGGCAACTCAAGGTCACAAATGATCCCTCCTCTGACCCATCTTCCACACGGTGACAGGAAGAGCTTTCTAAAGTGCAATTCTTATCCAATCACCCCTCTGCTGCACGTCCCCTTGCGAGTTCTCCATTGCCTCCCGCCAAGGCCTCCATGCGCCCTTCTCCAGCCTCCCCTCTCTCCCCAGCCTCCTACCACCCTGTGCTCCAACCGCAGGCAACTCCCCGGAGAGCCCTGTGTGCCACACCCCTCAGCCTTGGTCTGTGCTGCCCCCTCTGCTGGGGTGGCCTCTTTCATGGACCCTAGTTCTCCTAGGCCTGGAAAACTCACCACATCTTTGAAGACTCAGTTCAAAAGTCACTTCAACTATGAAGCTTTTAGAAGATGTGGTACATGTATACCATAGAATATTACTTGGTCGTAAGACAGAATGAAATCTTACCAGTTGTGACAGCATAGATGAACCTAGAGAGTATTATGCTGAGTGAAATAAGTCAGACAGAGAAAGACAAATACCATATGATTTCACTTATATGTGGAATCTAAAAAACACAATAAATGAACAAAGCAGAAACAAACAAATATAAAGAACAAAAGAAAATTAAGAACAAATAGATGGTTGCCAAGTGGGATGGTTGGGGAGCTGGGTGAAAAGCTGAAGGGATTAAGAAGTACAGACTGGTAGTTACAGAACAGTCATGGGAATGTAAATTACAACATAGTCAGTAATATGTATTAACTATGCATGGTGCAAGGTGGGTACTAGACTTATTGGGGAGAATCACTTTGTAAGTTATATAAATGTCTAATCACTATGCTGAACATCTGAAATTAATATAATATTGAATGTAACTACAATGAAATATTTTCTTTAAAACTATGAAGCTTTTCCTGATCCATCATAAAAAAGTGGCCACTCCCTCCTTTGCCCATCCCCCAACGCGCACCTTACACTTACTCACATTTACACGTTTACCTGCCTAACTTTCCCATCAGATTCCGAGCCCTCTGATGGCAGAGATGCTGTTTTATTCATTTATACAATCAGCACCTAAAAGTCAGATGGATATAAAGTAAGTATTCAATTAAGTTTCTGAGTTGAATTTAACGGAATTTATTGAATGAATTAATTTAATTCTTCATAAATTAACCTCCCTCTCCTCCTCTCCCTCTCTCTCAACACAGACATACACACACCACAAAGGAGGGAAGGGAAGGCTAATAAGGGGGCAAAGTGCAACACCTCTTGCAATAGTCCCTTGATCAGTCAGTCTGTCTGTACTTACCATTGATGCTCTGTGCCCAGTGACTGAAGGCAGAAGCGAGGGGCTGTTTTCTTGTGTGGAAAATCCAAGTAAGAGCTGTTCTGAGAACTGGAGCTACTTGCGTCACTGTGCAGCTGTCCCTTTTCAGACAGCAACCTGGACAGAAAGCTGGCCTTGCGACAGCCGGAGCGAGATCTGTCTGTCCAGACCCCACTCTCTCTCACGCTGCCATCGCTGTCTCTGCAGTGACTGTGCAAATCTGTGAGAGGCTCCCCCGAGGGCTGCGAGTCCTGGGACTGGGCCCAGGCTCCTGTTGCATAGGAGGGACATTGCCTAGGAGCCGTCGCTGTACCTAGCCAGGATTGGGACGTCGTAGTCTGTATGCCATAGGAGGAATGGCACGGTCGCTGTCCCGGGTGCTGAAACCGAACACAGTCATCCCAGGGACACGGGCTGTGGACATGGAGCTGTCCTCTGTGCTGATCCTTCTCAGCCCAGTCATTTTTACTACCGCAAGGGTCTGCCTCAAGATGCTTGGGCTGTGGGATTTGCCACAAGGTTTTAGACTTCGGCACATTGACTTGGATGACTTGTTGCTGATGGTTGGCTTCAAGTAGAGAGATTCTTTCAGCCAAGGAGGAGCAAATCATACACTTCTGAGGCACTGAATATTTTCTCAAATGAAACAGAGGGCCTCTGTCATCCTCAATACCCTCATTGTCAGGCTTCTCATAAAGTGCCCTCATGATTTTCCGGATTCCCAGATGGAATATTTCTAGTACATTAAGGAACAAAGAGATGGCTGCAATGCTGTGCATAAAGAGCATGAAAATGGTCTTCTCTGTGGGCCTGGATACAAAGCAATCCACTGCATTGGGGCATGGAGGTTGAGTGCATTTGTAGAGGGAGTGCATTTGAAACCCATAGAGAATATACTGGCCTATCATAAACCCTACTTCCAGCACAGATCTGGTCAAGATGTGTAAGACATAAGTACGCAGTAGACATCCTTTCAGAGGGACTTTGTGGATTCTCTTCTGCTCCTCTAACTTCCTCAGTTCTCTATCTATCTTTTGTTGCTCCTCCAATTCAAGCCCTGGACTCTCCATGTGGTTCCTCAGGTGTGACGTTTTCCTCTGCCTCTCCTTTTCAAAGGCCCTGAGTCTATAAAGGGCATGGCCCATATACACCAGAGAGGGAGAAGACACAAAGATGATCTGTAAAACCCAGAATCTGATCAAAGAGATGGGGAAAGCATCATCATAACAGATATTGTTGCAACCTGGCTGCTGGGTGTTGCAGGCAAATGCTGACTGTTCATCCTCCCAGACATCTTCAGCAGCCACACCAAGTACCAGCATTCGGAAAATAAAGAGGATGGTCAGCCAGATTTTCCCCACTATGGTTGAGTGGGAGTGAACTTCCTCTAGAATGCCACCCAATAAGTTCCAATCCCCCATGGTAAGAGACTAATGCCTGAAATATAAAGAGAACACTGAGATTAATAGCATCCATGCATGTAATGTATAAAGACTCAGGCTAATCAAAACAGCAGATTCTTTTTTCAAGTCAGCAAAACCATGAAAGGTTTTCCAGCCCTAATTTATGGACCATGTGTTGAAATAGAATGGTTCCAAGGAATATCAGGTTTAAAAAAACACACTCAAGACCCTCCACAATCTGATCCAATTTCCTTCCTACCCTCTTCTCTCCTACACAAAGTTGACTGCATTCTAACATATCCACTGGCCTTTGTATTTGTACAATGCTGTCTATTCCACAATTTTGTTCATTTTTCTATCCATCTGAGATGCCCCATTTACCATACACCCTACATGATCTTAGATAAGTCTTACTGTGGCACTGTACCTAAAATGAGTTGTGTGATGGTTCTAGCACTGTGGTCTTTGTATACAGAAGTTATCAATAAATAATAGTGGGTTGAATTGTCTTTTCATTTTAAAACTCGGTTCTTCTCACTGGAATAATCATCAGCAGGAAAACAAAGGTCCTCATTATATATTATCCATGGCTTCCAATGCAAGACTAAAAGTACAAGGAAAAAAGAAATCAGCCATAAAAACCCTCAGAAACTGGCAGAGAATAGATCAAGTAAAGATCAAGATGACAGAAATAGTACCAGCAATAAGACATATGATTACATCCACAAAGCATGTCTGCATAGAAGCTTTGCTAACTTAGAAGAAAAAGAATCTCTAGCAAGCTTGAGATCTGGAATTGAGGCATAGCTGACATGAATAGGTTATTTAGTTTACCCTGAAAAAAATTAGTGTTTTTTTAAGTTCAATGAGGTTAAAATACTTGGTAGGTTAAAGTCTTCTAAGATGGGAGACTTCCAAATATGAAATATATGGAGAAAAAACCAGGAAAGTCTGTTTAGGTTAAAACAATAATAAAACATTTTTCTCCTTCCATAATTCATTCCTTCAAAATTTACTAAAATCTTACTAGCACCTACTAGATGCCAGGAAATTCAACAATGAACCATATATACCTAGCCCAGCCTCACAGCACTTAGTAAGGACTCCCACTAACATATAAAATGGACAAATAGTGAAAATGAAGCAAATGAATATCAACTTAAAAAATACAAGAGAATAAACATAAAATTGTTATATTTTCCCTCCCTATCTTCAAACATAAATAAAGGGTGGGACAAAAGTAGGTTTACAGTTGTTTGCATGGAAGATAACACAATAATTAATAAATAATAATACGAGAATAAACCGTTTCGTGTACTTACAACTGTAAACCTACTTTTGCCCCACACTGTATAAATTCCAGATAGAGTCAAGTACTGACTCTAAAAAAATGTAAACTGTGAAAGTATTAAAATAAAATGTAAAAGAATATATTTTAGCCTGGCCAATGTGGCTCACTGGTTGAGCATTGATCCATGCACCAAGAGGTTGCTGGTTCAATTTCCGGTCAGGGCACATGCCCAATCCCCAGTAGGGGGCATGCAGGAAGCAGCCAATCAATGTTCTCTCTCATCAATGTTTCTATCTCTCTCTCTCTAATATCAATAAAGAAAAAAATATTTTTAAAATATAATATATTTTATAACCTTGAAATAGAGGAAGGCTTTTTAAGCACATAAATGGCAGAAATTATAATTGCAAATATATATAGGTTTTACCCAACAAAACTGAATAGCAAAAGTGGAGATGTCCATAAAAAAGAATGAAATCTTACCATTTATGACAGTACAGATGGACCTAGAGTGTATTATGCTAAGAGAAGTAAGTCAGACAAAGACAAATACCATGATTTCACTTATATGCAGAATCTAAAGAACAAAATAAACCAATGAAGAAAACAGAAATAGACTCAGATACAAAGAACAGACTGATGGTTGCCAGAGGGGAGGAGGCTTGGGAGACTGGGTGAAAAGGTGAAGGGATTGAGAAATACCGATGGGCAGTTACAAAACAGACATGGGAATGTAAAGTACAGCACAGGAAATATAGTCAATAATGTTATAGTAACTATGTACAGTGCCAGGTAGGTACTGGAACTATCAGGAGGAGCACTTTGTAAATTATGACTGTCTAACTACTATGATATACACCTGAAACGAATATAAAATAGTACTGAATGTCAACTATAATTGAAAAATCTAAAAAAAATTTAGTGGAGATGTCCAGAAAGCATTTGGGTCTAGAAAACAACTACATCATAAAGCTACAAACTAGATACACATTTAAACATTCATGAATAATTATTAAATAGGTAAATGAGATCACTGAGGGACAAGAAGGAAAAGTGAGTCAATAACAGAAACCTGATAAATAGCACAGGAAAAAGTCTACAAATGAAAATGAGAAATGGCCAAAGGGAGAAAAGTGGAAACCATGAGGGTCGTGTCACTAAAACCAAAGCAGGACAGAATTTCAAGGAGAGAACAGTTGACAATGCCAAATACACATACACATACACTATTTAAATAAATTAAATTAATGGTGTGGCCTGGCCGGTATTCTCAGTGGATTGAGTGTCATCCCATAGACTGACAGGTCCAGGTTTGATTCCTGGTCAGGACACATGCCAGGTTGTGGGCTCAATCCCCAGTAGGGGGCATGCAGGAGGCAGCCAATTGATGTTTCTCTCTCACATGGATGTTTCTATCTTTCTCTCTAAAAAATCAATAAAAACATAATAAAAAATAATAAATTAATGGTGTGATACACCATACTCAGGGATTCAAAAACGCAATTACTGCCCTGGCCGGTTTGGTTCAGCGGTTAGAGCGTCGGCCTGTGGTCCTGAGAGACCCGGGTTCGGTTCCCGCTAAGGGCATGTACCTCGGTTGCAGTTTGTCCCCGGCCCTGGTTGGTTGTGCGGGTGGCAGCCACTCGATGTGTCCCTTTCATGTCGATGATTCTTTCTCTCTCTCTGTTCCTCTCTCTCCCTCCCACTCCACCTGAACAAAAAAATGAAAAAATGTCCTCGGGTGAGGATAAAAAAAAACAAACAAACAAAAAAAACGCAATTACTGTTTGTAAATATGCCAAGTCTCCCCAAACCAACTGATCCTCAGATTCAATGTGAGAACATATATCACTGAGCAAATCATACAAATGTACATACTATGTATGTATGCATATGTATATGAGATGTATATATGTGTGACTATATGAGCACAGAGGGAAAAGAACAGAAAGACTCACACCGGGAAGCTGATGTAGGTTACGGGAAGGTCTGTAGGAAGTGGTAAGGAAGAGGAAGTTTGGAGGACAAAGGGAGAGGCAAAAAAAAAGGAAAAGACTCTTCTCAGGAAGCATGACTGACTTTTATCCAATGCATACATTTATGTAAATTTATACCTGTATGTGCACACATGTATAAGCAATTTTACAAATAAAATTTTAAAAACAGATTCTCTCAGACTTTGAAAGGAATGTTAATAAGACTTTTATATTTTACTCTATATACTTATAGTTTAAAATTCAAAAATTAAAAATATAGTCATACATAATACCCCCAAATAAAAATTTGATTTAAAAATTTTAGATTACACCTCATTAACTAAAGCAATAATTTACTACGTTCTATCCTTTCTTATAGAGTTTAGTTCATTTCCCATAATCATTCATTTTAAATTTTCTGGCCATTATTCATTATTAAAAAATAATATCTTTAACACTTATAAAAATATAGAGCTTGTATTTTATATAAAGACCCTAAGGTGGAAAGGCTAACTCATTTCACTAACTTATTCTCTACCTGACAATCCTAAACTATTTAATGCCTTTTTTTTTTTTTTTTGCCACTGTAGCCTTAAAAAATGGAAATTATTTTTTAATAGCAAGTAAAAGAAAACTAGGCCAACATGAAATACAGAAAAACAAGTATACATACTGGCATGCAAAATCCAGACCTTTTAGACAAATATTCCTGTCTCCTAAAATAAATACCTTTTACCATTAACTGACTACAGGTCCTAGAAATATTGTTGAATTTTCTTTTATTATCAAATACTAATTCAGCATCTCCTTTGTAAATGGCTGGTGTCTCTTTCCTAAATTTTATTTCAGATCTTATCTTTCTATCCCCACAAGAATTTCCTAGGTTTCTCATAAACAAGAAAATTCACATATTGACCACTTACCTTACGTGGGCAGAAAAATAACAACTGGACTCACAGAACCCTAAAGTTCGACCATGTGTGGCTAATTAATGAACAACTGCTGCTGGTTGTAGATATAAAGGCTCTGATCAGCTGGCTTCGGGGCCCAATCCAGAATCAGTACAGTAATTTTGATCAATGGAGTCTAACTAGTCCTCTCCCGAGGTCAGAATGTCCTTTGGTGCTTTGCAATTCTCTTGTAATATTTTTTCTGACACCATGCTGGATCCACTCCTGTTGTATCACGTTTGGAAATGAGAAGTGAAACAAATGTGAATTTTCCTTTCTCGTTTGTGAAGGATTAGAGTCATTTGAGCGAGTGCATTTCTTTCAGCCGATTAATTGCTCTGGGAATTGATGTCACAGATCAATGGGTCATGTCTGATTTCGTCAGTAGCTGCCTAGGGTGTCCAGCTTCATCAAATGTGAACAAGTAATAATGGAGTGACAACCAAACCCATAGTGTTCTTGCATATCATGCTATGCTGAAAGAAGAAATATCTCAAAAAAAAGATTAAGCATGCCCTGGCCAGTTCAGCTCAGCGGTTAGAGCATCAGCCCTCGGACCAGAGCTACAGGTTCAGTTCTGGTCAAGGGCACATACCTCGGTTGCAGTTCATCCCTGGCCCTGGTCGTGTGGGAGGCAGCCAGTCAATGTGTCTCTCACATTGATGCTTCTCTCTCTCTCTCTCCCTCCTTCCCTCCCTCGCTCCTTCCCTCCCTCCCTCCAACTCTATCTGAAGATAAATGAAAAAATATCCTTGGGTGAGGATTAAGAAGAGAGAGAGAGAGAGAGAGAGAGAGAGAGAGAGACTGATTAAGCATTTCAGACCCCTGAGAGGAGGGCTGTGCCTGTCTTTAGATTATGTGGTCTAGGGATATTCTGTGAGGCTGAAAGGGCGCAGGCAAAAAAAAAATTGTTTCAGTAGATTATCTGAAAGTGACAGAGGCAGAGAGTAGGTGACTCTCCCGTAACCTCAGTGATAACCTGAAAGGTCCTGACAGTCAGCAGTCCCGGCACTGCACTGCTGGTGGGCGAGCAGGCGCCGCCTGCACTGTCGCCTCCAGCCACCCCAGTCTCCGCAGCAGCCAGCACAGAGGAGGGCCGCTGCCACAGGGAACGTGTTCCTCAACATTCCTACTGCCACTCTCACCAAAAGTTATGCTGAATCTATGACAGAGTGACTGGCAGGACCACAACACACTCAGAGAAACCAAAGGAAACAGGAAGGTTCAAGAGAAAAAATGTCCCAGGATAGAAAGGTAAGAGAAAGATGCATGCGGGTGCGAGTTCCACGAGCTACTGCCTTTGTGCTAGTCAATGGTGCCCATATTTACCAACCCCTTCACTCGCCTGGTGATGCAGAGCAGCTGCACAACACTTAGGATTGTGAAAGGCAACATAATACTAAAGGAAGAGGAAGTCATGTGTAATGGGGGTAGCAACAGCAGAAGAGGAAAGCTCATTTGCGTCAAGTCCCTCATCTCATCAAGACTCAGGCGTTCCCAGGAGAAGGGCCATGTGGCACTCCACACATTCTGTTCAAGAAACTCATTTCATAACTGAAGAAGTTCAGCAATGGGCTTCTGCCTATGTCTTCACAATCTCCTTATGTACCAGTTACAGAGAATAGAAAAAAGAACACTTCATTTTATGAAGACAGAAAAATAATAATGTGGATAACAAAGCCTGACAAAACAGTGTTAAGAAAATCTTTAGGTCACTCTCATTCTCAAAATAAATAAATAAATAAAAAATAGCTGCAGAATATCCTAAACAAAACATTAGCAAACCAAATCTAACATTTTATAAAGAGGATACAATACATTAAAGTTAGGTTTATTCTGAGATAGATTACAAGGTTTGTTTAATATTAAAAATCAATGTGATATGCCACATTCACACAATAGAGAAGATATTGATATAAATAAACGTCCATTCATATCTTTTTAAAAAGCCCTTAGAGCCCTGGCTGGTTTGGCTCAGCAGTCAGAGCATGGGCCTTCAGACCAAAGAGTCTCGGGTTAGATTCCCATCAAGGGCATGTACCTCGGTTGAAGTTTGATCCCTGGCCCTGGTTGGGGTTGTGCGGGAGGCAACCAGTCGATGTGTCTCTCTCACATCAATGTCTCTCTCTCTCTCTCTCCCCCCCGCATCCTCCCTCCAGTTCTATCTGAAAATCAATGGAAAAATATCCTCGGTGAGGATTAAAATAAACAAAAACAAAAGCTCTTAGCAAACTAGGAATACAAGGAGACTCCCTTAATCTAATACAGTATCCATTTTTTTTTAATTTTACATGAAACCTCATAATGATAAAATACTAAGTTTTCTCTGTGAGATCAGGAATAAGAGAAGAATGTTTACTATTATTCATTCTAATCATTATTTGCACCATTTTAGCCAGTGCAAAAAAGTTTAAAGATTACAAAGGAAGAAATAAAACTATGATTTTGTATAAAAAAATCTGCAGATAAATTTTTAGAACATTATATGGTTCAGCAAGTTTCTAGATATAGTCAATTGTATTTCTGTATCCCAAACAGAAAATGAAATCATTTACTATAGAATCAAATACTAGCAAATACCTAAGATAAATCTAATGAAAAATATGTAAGACACACACCATTACTGAAATAACCTTTTTTCTTTTTTAAGTAAGAATTGTTATTGCAGACATTTTATTCTTTTATTTTGGTACATGCCCCTAGCAGTAACTGAACCCGGGACTCTCTGGTTTGCAGGCCAATGCTCCAACCGCTGAGCCAAACCAGCCAGGACTGAAATAACTTTAAATACGTGGTAAGATATACCGTGCTCAGGGATTGAAAAATTCATCTTTTTAAATATATCAATTCTCCCCAAATTAATTGATCTATGGAGTCAATGTCAGCTCAGTCAAAAATCCCAATAGGTTTTCTGTGGAACTTAATAAGCTGATTCTAAAATGTATGTGAAAATGTAAAGGGCCAAATTTACCCATGAACGTGCAGAAGAAAGAAAACAAAGTGAAAAGACTTGTTTACTGGATATCGAGACTTATCTAAAGCTATAATAATTAAGAGAGTGATGAATATGGGTGCATAATTACACAAACAGGCCAATAAACAGAACAGAGATTCCAGAATGAAACATACTTATCTATGGTCACACGACGCGTTGTCAGGTGGCTCTGAGGAGCAGTGGGGCAGGGATTGTTTACAACAAATGAGCAATGGTCAAATTGGATGTTTTTTAAAAATTGAAATTAGCCCTGGCCGGTTTGGCTCAGCGGTTAGAGCGTTGGCCTGCGGTCCGGAGAGACCCGGGTTCAGTTCCCGCTAAGGGCACGAACCTTGGTTGCAGTTTATCCCCGGCCCTGGTTGGGTCGTGTGGGTGGCAACCACTCGATGTGTCACTTTCACGTCGATGTTTCTCTCTCTCTCTCTCCCTCTCACTCTATCTGAACAAAATATCGAAAAATGTCCTCGGGTGAGGATGAAAAAAAACAAAAACAAATAAAAATTGAAATTAAATTTACCTCCTACCTCACACCCTACAAAAAAATAAATTCCTAGTGAATTGTAGATATACATACACAAAGTAAAACAATACAAGTTTCAAATAATAAAAAATAGCTTTGTCATCTTGGAGTTGGGAAAGATATCTTCATCAGGCACTACCATAAATAAAAAGAATAGTATATTAAATCTGTGAATTAATTTACCATTAATTGTTCATCAAAAGATGTATGTGACAGAGTGAAAGGCACACGACAAACTGGGAGAAGGTATTTCCACCTACAGAACCAACAAATGACTCATATCTAGATTACATAAATATTCCTACAAATTAATAAGAAAAATATGTCAGAGACTTTATTTAAAAAGGACATTCAAAATGGCCAACAAACATTCCGGAGGTACCACTACACCGCTGCCAGAATGGCTGAAGACTGACAAAAAGAAGTGTGAGAGAGCATGTGAAGAAACAGTTCACATAGACTACTTGTGGAAGTACAAAGCGATAAAAGCACTTGGGGAAACTGGCGGTATTTACTAAAGATTCACATATGTATACCACTCCTAGGTATATATCCAACAAAAATGTATACAGCAAAAAACATAAAAGAATGTTCAGACCAGCACTATTTAAATAACCCAAACTAGAAATGCCTAAATGAATGAATGTCACAAACACAATGCTGAGCAAAGTCAGAGTATACATGATGTATATAATTCTGTTTAAAGGTTCAAAAACAGGCAAAACTAACCTATTGACATTAGCAATAGTGTTTACCTCTAGTAGGAGAGTTATAACTAGGAATAGGGTAGGGGAGCTGGCAAAGTTCTCATTCTGGATGGTGTAAAACAAGTGTTCACTTTGTAAAATTGACTGCACTATTTCCTTTGTGCACTTTTCTGAATGACATACTTCATTTTTAAAAGTTCCACATTTTCCCTACCGGTTTGCTCAGTGGTTAGAGCGTCAGCTTGCAGACCAGATTCCTGGGTTCCATTCCGGCCAAGGTCACATACCTCGAATGCGGTTCGTCCCGGCCCTGGGGCGGTGCAGGTGGCTTCCAATCAATGTGACTCGATGTTTCTCTCTCTCTTGCTCTCTTCCTCTTTCCCTCCCTCCTGCACTATTTGAAGCTAAATGGAAAACTATCCTCAGGTGAGGATTAAAAAGTAATAATTTAAAAAAATAAAAATTTGACATTTTTTGCCTGGCCAGTGTGGCTCGATGAATTGAGTGTCATCCCATGGAATTCGAGGTTCCAGTTCAATTCCTGGTCAGGACACATACCCCATTTGCAGGCTTGATCCCCAGTAGGGGGCGTGCAGGAGGCAGCTGATCAGTGTTTCTCTCTCACATCAATGTTTCTCTCTCCCTTCCTCTCTTTCTAAAAAATAAATTTAAAAAATATTAAATGAATAAATAAAAGTTCAACATTTTTATATCTATACCTTCATCCTAACAAGCCAAGAACTTTAACATTCATGTTGATATTGTCTAAATTTCTGGCTTATTATTAATATACTTCCTTTATCTTTCTCCTTCTATACACACTTTATCAAGATATCTGACCACTCTTACCCCCTAGCTCTTGTATTACCTCCTGGACTCTATTGTTAAGTAGTTTCTCCAAAAACATTTACCACACAGATCTCTGAGTGTAAATCTTAATGGTTTTAAATCCTCATTTTTAATAACAATTTAAATGGATGTAAATTTTTAGGTCTACTTCAAAAATATTTTCTTATAGCCAGTATTGCTCTTGAAGACTGAGTTCAGTGTGATTCTTGATCCTTTATATAATGATTTACTGTCTAAAATATTTTAGATTTTTCTTATTATCTTTGATACTCTTAATTTCTTTTTGTTACGAGTATTTTTTTTTCATTGATGCCAGAGAGAGGAAGGAGAGAAACATCGATGTGAGAGATATCAATCGGTTACACGCCCAGACCAGGGATCAAACCCTGCAACCTGGGTATGTGCCGACCAAGAATCAAACCCACCACCTTTTTGGTCTATGGTACAAGACTCCAACCAACCAAGCCACACTGGCCAGGGCAATATTCAATTTCAGTGTGTCTAGATGCAGGTACTTCTTTCTCTATCTCTTTTGGCACTCTGGCCCTTCAGTCTGATTTTTTTCCTCTTCCAGTCTTTGTGTGTGTGTGTGTGTGTGTGTGTGTCCCTTCAGTCTGATTTTTTTCCTCTTCCAGTCTTTGTGTGTGTGTGTGTGTGTGTGTGTGACTTTGTTAAAAATGATTTATTTATTTTTTTATTAATTTATTTTTGTCACAGATGTTTCTCCTTTTTTTCCCATTAACACCCTCCTCCGCAACCCCCCCACCCCATCTCAAGCTGTTGTCCGTGTCCATTGGTTATGCGTACATGCATAAGTTCTGTGGTTTATCTCTTCCCTCCCCAACACCCCCTTTTCTGAGGGTTGTCAATCTGTACCCTACTTCCATTTCTCTGGGTCTATCCTGTTCCTCAGACTGTTATGTTCAATATATTCCACAAATAAGTGATATCATGTGATATGTCTTTCCCTGCCTGGCTTGTTTCACTTAGGATACTTTCCAGGTCCCTCCATGTCGTCTCAAAGGATAAAAGATCTTTCTTTCTTACAGCTGCATAGTACTCCGTTGTGTGTATGTACCACTGCATTTTTATCCATTCATCTACTGATGGACACTTGGGCTGTTTCCAGATCTTAGCTATTGTAAATAGTGCTGCTATGAACATGGGGGTACATATGTTCTTTGACTGGTGTTTCGGGCTTCTTAGGATATATTCCTAGAAGTGGGATCACTGGGTCAAATGGCAATTCAATTTTTAATTTTTTGAAGTAACACTATAGTGTTTTCCATAGTGGCTGCACCAGTCTGCATTCCTACCAGCAGTGTACTAGAGTCCCCTTTTCTCCACACCCTCAACACTTGTTGATGATTTGTTGATGGCAGCCATTCTGACAGGTGTGAGGTGATAACCTCATTGTTGTTTTAATTTGTATCTCTCTGATGATTAGTGATGGTGAGCATTTCTTCATGTCTCTTGGCCATTTGTACGTCCTGTTTGGAGAGGTGTCTATTTAGCTCCTCTGTCCATTTTTTAATTGGGTTCTTTGTCTTCCTTTTGTTGAGTTGTATGAGCACTTATATATTTTGGAAATTAAGCCCTTTTCTGATATATCGTTGGCAATTATGCTCTCATACAGTGGGTTCCCTTTCCATTTTGATGGTTGTTTCTTTTGCTGTGCACAAGCTTTTGAGTTTGATGTAGTCCCATGTGTTCATTTTTTCCTTTGTTTCTGTTGCCTTAGGTGATGTATTAGTAAAAATTCTGCTGCGTATGATGTCTGAAATTTTGTTGCCTACATTTTCTATGATTTTTATGGATTCACAGGTCACATTTAAGTCTTTTATCCATTTTGAGTTTATTCTTGTGTATGGTGTAAGTTGATGGTCTAGTTTCATTTTTTTGCCTGTAGCTGTCCAATTTTCCCAACACCATTTATTAAATCTTCTGGTTTTCTTGTTATCTGATTGTTGGCATATCTTCTGTATTTCACCTCACTTAAATTTGCATTCATATTGCCCTGGCCGGTTTGCTCAGTGGTTAGAGCGTCGGCCTGCGGTCCAGAGACCCAGGTTCGATTCCTGCTAAGGGCGCGTACCTCGGTTGCAGTTTATCCCTGGCCCTGATTAGGTCGTGTGGGTGGCAGCCACTCGATGTGTCCCTTTCACGTCGCTGTTTCTCTCTCTCTCTCTTCCTCTCTCTCCCTCCCACTCTATCTGAACAAAAATGGAAAAATGTCCTCGGGTGAGGATAAAAAATTTTTTTTTAAATTAAAATTTGCATTCATATTTACTATTTGGCATCTTTTCCTTTATTTTTTGCTTCTTTCTAGGAGTTTCTCAATCTGATTTTCCAACTCACTAATTCATTCTTCAGCTGTATCCATTCTATTTTTACTCCACTTTATTATGTTCTTTATTTTAAAGTTTTTTAAACTTATACCTGGTTTATTATTTCTTATTCTTGTATCATATTACCAAAATCTTCCCTTTTTTCTTTTGTTTATTGGCTTTTTAAATACTTGTGGTCTTTGTTATTTTCCTTTGAACAAGTGGCATCTCCCAGTTATCCTTTTACTTTGGCTTGTGAACTCATTTAACCTGGTGGTATGGGCTCTTCTGAGTGACAGTATGCACTGGGGAAGACTGAGAGTCAGCCCCCTAGGATATGTTGAAGGTTCAAAGAGAGAGAAGAAGATAAGCAATACAGTGGACAGCTGAGGCACTACAAAAACCAGTTCATTATTTCAGTGTATCTACCAAGCAGGCCTTCAGATCAGGGCTTCGCCCTTCAGACACAATTGGAGAAATGGCAATTTCCTAAGGCACTTCCAGAGTCTTGGACCTAGATAATAACCCACCTATGACTCTGGAGGGGGAAGAGTGAACACATAATGCACAAGCTAGTCAATCCTTACCTGTTTTCCCCAAATCTTGACCCCCAAGGGCTTCTGCGCTGCCCTGATTTTATCTGTGAGGATACCTGCAGCAGAGGTCTGGTTCACTGTGCTAGTACCTGCTGTGAGAAAGCAGGCAAAGGCAACTGGTTTTCTATAATGAATCCACTCACAGACATGCAGCCATCCACACCCCCACCTGGATCCACTTCACAATAGCCTCCCATATTCCCTGGGAGTTTTACCTTTTTTTTCCTTTTAATTATTATCTAAACATACTGGGGAACAAAAACATTCTAATCCAAATATAACAGAAATTTACATGGTTTTATTTATACATTACTGGTACTGAAAGCAAACTTTATACAAAAAGTTTTATACAGATAAAAAAAATCCCTTGGCTAGGCAAAACCATTTATGCATGTGTGTATACACACAAACACAGATACACACACACAAAGTATTTTACATCAATTTAAGTATACATATTTACAGGTACACTATTTAAATTACTTTACAATTTACCAAAATGAGGCCATCAGAAAAGCAAATAAAAATATATAAAAACAAACTAAATAATGGTTAATTTAAAAATGCTACAAAACTATTTTTAAAAATCTAGAAAAGAAAATCATTTCTTTGAAATATCAAAACTAAGATTTCAATATTGTCTTGTCGTTGCTTTTATCTTAATAACAAGTTCTAACCTGTTTAAAAATAAGTATCTTGACCAATAACAGATACACAAATCAGACAATGACTGGAACAAGCTGACCAGAGAGTAACGAGTCAGCAAGTAATAACAAATGCAGATTATCTAGTAATCAAATGTCATAAAATTGCCCTCTACATCCCCATTTAAAACATGAGGAATTCCAAGCTTCTTTGTAGTATGCAATAGCAATTAAGACTCCAAGGAATTCAGCAACTTATCTGTAATGTAAGAAAATGCTAAGTTATGATTCCATTTTTATAATATAACCATTTCATAAGTGTTGTTCTTTAATGAGTTCTACTTAGGTAATACTGATGTTAAAAACTAGCTTTTACAGAATCAGTTTGGAAACTTTATTATTATACTCTGATTTTGAAAATAATTTAATGAGACTATAGTACTTGGGGGAAATAATCAGTTAAGAAACAAACCAGAAATGAAATAACACATTAATTGTGCTATTATGCAAGGAAATAAGATCTCAAGTATTAAATCCAATAAAAGATTTGTAATGGAACTTGGAAATTTCAAATTAATAAGCATCATTCCAGATGTAAGTTAATTCTCCCATGCATGTACATTATCTTCACAAGAGAAGGAATTCATACTTTAAGATGACATGAAATTAAAACAAAAAACTCAGCTTAATTTCTTAAAGGCAGTGAAAATTTTAAAGCGCAGCAAACCTGAAAAATAATCAGGTCATTGTTGCCTTCAACTATTTTTAAAGGTCCTTTAGAAATAAGCTTTTTCCTTAAATTCCCCATTATTAAATCTCACATTCTGAATTATATAAATAGAATTTTAATTTCACCATAAACTACTAAATATCTTCTGAAGATCTCAACAGCAAACTCTTTGCTTTAAGAGGACACTAAAATGAACAGTTTCTAAAGAGTAATTTACATCAGGTCTAGACACAGATTTATAACTCAAATATATTGAGAACCCTTCTCACAGGCCAAATATGGTTTCTATTCCGATTTAATTTAACATAAAATTGGGTGGGTTTTTTGTTGTTAATCCTCACCCAAGGATACTTTTTCTATTGATATTAGGAGAGAGTGGAGGGGGCGGGGAGAGAGAGAAACATTGGTGTGAGCGAGACACACTGATCAGTTGCCTCCCACACACACCCCAACCAGGGCTGGGAATCAAACCTGTAACCCAGGTACATGCCCTTGACTGGGAGTTGAACACTCAACCCTTCTGTGCACAAGCCAATGCTCTAACCATTGAGCCATACCAGCCAGGACTAAAATTGGGTGTTCTGCATTTAAATAATTATAACTACAAATCAACTAAAAAATAATGATATCTTAAATATCTTTAGAAATTTTCTTATGTAAAGTCCAAGTATTTAAGCAACTAGTTCTGGTCTTACAGAGAAACCCTGCTGATAAACACTGTTGCCTTAATAAACCTGTATAAGAACAGCTTAAAAAAAACTGAGGAAACATGTCTGTGAACATTATTAGTAATTTAACATGATAAATCATTGTCATCTATTTAGATGACAATGATTTCACGTTTACAAGAGTATGCTTTGTATTTTAAAGTATTTTAGCACTCGTAATGTAAAATATAAAATTTTTTTTAAATTTTAATGTGAAAAATATTAAATTATAATGACTTAACAGACCTCATTGCCTGTGACACAAACTATTCAAGGTTTTATTTTTCATTTATAAAAATTTTTTTACTAAATCATTAAATGGATTTCCCCCCACCTTAGACTCATCAGCAGTCAGAAGGTTAAGGAGGAATGCCATGCAGATCTGAACTGCAACTCTGAGCACATCCTGTGGGTTTGGTGACCTCAGAAGCCTGCCCGAGCAATCATCTTCCACGCTGCGACTGAAGCAGGAACTCAACTGGATGTCTTTCACCCACTACTCACACCTTCAATGACTAACAGGACATTGACTTGCACAGTTACAGTATCAAACATTTATTTTACTAGTCTCCTGTAGTATAACCATTAACTACCTGCATTTTGACTTTTCAAAGAGCTTCAATAGCTGCTGAAATCTTTCTGAGACCTGAAAAATTAAAAATGAGTGTTAATTTTAAATAATGCAATAGGTTGTTGTTTTTTTTTTATCTGTAATGACTACATTCACAAAATATCGAAAAGTTACTGTCAATAATAAAGAGATGAAGTATTTCTAGAAAAATTATCTTCACACTAAAGATGATTGGTAGCTTAATGTTCAACATTAAACTTTCTTTTGTTTTAAATAAATTTACTGGAGTGATATTGGTTAATAAAATTATATAGGTTTAAGGTGTACAATTCTATAATACATCATCTGTATATTGTATTGTGTGTTCACCACCCCAAGTCAGGTCTCAATATTAAACTTTCTTAAACAAGTAAACATTACAAAATGGTTAAAGATCAAATAAGTAAATGGTTAAGACAACAGAAAAAAAAAAAGGGGTTGTTTTTCCACAATCACCAAGTTTTTAACAGTCCTACATAAAAAGCCGTACATTTAAAGATGTTGAAAAGTAAATATCTACCTATTTTAAACATGTGAAAATAAAATCTAAGTATTTAGAATAATAACATCTGTGAAACTATAGAGATTTCGGGAAGTTACCTGAGATGAATTTTTATTCAACTTGGCAGCTACATACGAAAATGTTTCCATTGTTGGCCCCCTTTTCTGACACTCCAATAAAATTTCCCGGTCATCATTTCTGAAGGGAAAAAATATTATTTAGCTTTTGTAGATTAGAGCAGAAAGCTAACAAAAATTCCATTCACTGCCTTAATATCCACCAGTAGGAGGTGACATCTTTATTAAAATCCGTAGAAAAAAGAAAAAGTATGTATATCAAAACATAGACAATCATTATCTCTAAGAAATAAGGTTATGGATGATTTTAATTTGTAAGCTCATTCTAAGTTTCTAAATTTTCTAAAATATACTCATTTATTATTCTAATGACAAAAGTATATATTTTTAAAAATTCTACCTTTAATGTATACAATACTTTAAAAATTAGGGCCCAAACATGACAACAGACTCAATAAGCAAACGAACAAAAGTAAAATAGAATCCACATCTTTCAATTCCCAGGCCTCTGCTTTTTGTACATGGTCAGAACCAATGTACATTATTACAATCTCTGAGATTTTATTGTGCCACCTCTAAGTTACCTGAAATGAAGGTATAAACGACTGTGGTATTAAACAAATCTATCACCAATTTCAACAAAATTCAGCTTCCCTCATTATGCACTCTAGCCAAGTCTACAGATCATGAACCTCTAATCCAACAGTTCACAACTGTGGTTACCCTTATGTCTGAAATGGGCTCTTTAAATCTGCTTTTCTGCCCTGGCCAGTTTGGCTCAGCGGTTAGAGCGTCGACCTGCAGTCCTGAGAGACCCGGGTTCGGTTCCCGCTAAGGGCGCATACCTCGGTTGCAGTTTGTCCCCGGCCCTGGTTGGTTGTGTGGGTGGCAGCCACTCAATGTGTCCCTTTCACATCGATGTTTCTCTCTCTCTCTCTGTTCCTGTCTCTCCCTCCCACTCTACCAGAACAAAAAAGGAAAAATGTCCTCGGGTGAGGATAAAAAAAAAAAAAATCTGCTTTTCTTTTAAAGTTCACATAAAAGTAAAAAGTACAACCTGTTTATGAAACTTTTTTGAAACTCTTAATTTAAGGAAGTCAAATTATAAATGCTTACACTTTTTGCCCCATTTTACCACCTGTCATTCTTCCTTTCTAAAGTGTGACAATACCGGTTCTTTACAATTGAAAGAACAATTTTTTAATTAACAAAGTGAGGTTAAAACACAATGAAAATTTCTATCCATAGTGCTAATGCACACCTTTGGTTAAGAGCCACTGCTATTGATTATACCCTAGAATGTATCCTCTATTAACTTTGGCTCCTTTTGAAGTCATCACTTTCCTTATTTTAGGGTGGGATATAACTATGGTGACATGACAGAATAGATTGCTGGCCTCTCAAAATTTCCCAGCGATTTAAATGTCTCATAAGATCCTTACCTTGTCCACGAAACTATAATTTCTCCCTTCTTTTTAATAATATTCTTTGCAGAAAGGTTTATGGGAGAAGTGCCAGATGCTGCTGATGGGCCCTTAATCCCTGGGCTTGCCTTTAACGATGAGGGATCATTAGCCACTGCAGGGGCCTTTTTCTTACAGGATTTCCTTTGGTGAGCTTCACCAGTCTCACCAGAATTTTGGGTCATTTTCTTGGTCTTTTCCTTGCTGGTTAAGTCTGTTTCCTTTCTCTGTTTTTTCTGACAAGAATAATTTAGATCAGAAAGGTTTTTTCTCTTTTTGTGAGCATTATCCAAAGACACAGGCAACTCTGAACTATCAGAATTTGATGCCGGTTCTGATTTTAAATCCTCCTTTTTGACTTCACATGAACTGGGAGAGTCTGAGGTCAAATCGATACAGGCTTCCTCAACCATGCATTCTAAAGGCTCTTGCACCTTTTCTTCTTTACAGTCATCTTCACCTACATAAAACACCTGACAACCCAAGTGTCCAACAGCTAAAGCAGGATGGTTATCTTCACTTTTACTCTCACTTGAAACATCCTGTGTCAAGTCAATAAATGCATCTACAGCATCAGGCTGCACACTGTCTAGTATCTGAGCATTTTGATCCAAATTGTTTCCAGAACATCCCAACTGATTAATGTTTAAAACTCCTACTTCTTCTATGAGTTCCCCCAAGTTTTTAGTCTCAGTGACTGGATCTTTTGTGAGGTCTACATATGTGTTTGGAAGATGACCCTCAACAGAACGTGGAATTTCTTCCATGGGAGGCAATCCTGCAATGTTTTCAGGCACTTTTGGTTCCCATACTTGATGCAACTTGAAACACTCATCAGCCACTTCATTGCTATGATCTACTTTACCTGAAGCATCTTTAAGGAATTCATATATATCAGGTACCTGTGTTTGTATCATACAGCCCTGTTCTTCATGAGCTGATTTACTGCTGTCAACATTTTCATTGGAAAGTTTTAATTCCTCCATAGATTTGAAATCTGTGTTCTGACAGGAAACACATTCCTTCTCTGCTGCTTCATCAGTTTCCTTTCCCTCTCTGGGCAAAGATGTAAATGACTCACTAGCCACCATATTCTGTATAAGACTAGGGGAGGTAGATGGTGCTGAGTGCCGTATTTTCACAATGAAATGATCATTGGACTTCTCCATTATGACAGCATGCATGGGTAGATTAGGGTGGTACTGAAAACCTGGAGCAACAGACCGGCTTGTCCATGATGAAGAACAACTTGATTTACTGCTTGAATTATCAGACTCCAGAGCTAAGTGAATATCTTGTTCAGATGCATCCTCTTCCTCAAGTAAGGCATCTTCACTAAAGTGAGCACTAATAACTTCTTCAGGAGTTGAACTAGACAAAGCTTCAGGCTTTAAGAAACTGAGATGGCCATCTGACTTCAGAGGTGATGGTACTGTTAAAGATACCGCTAGATCTTCAAGCAGTATGGAAGAAATGCAGGGCTTGTTCTTTTCTGAACTACAGACATTATCTTTACTTAAAGCTATGTTAGTGGAAACTTCAAACATACAACTTTCATCCAACACATCGGGATGAACTGGCAATGAAAGTCCTGAAGACAGAGATGGACCTTTTTCAGATGATAATAATGACCAATTATCATCACTAATCATTTTAGGACACGGAGAAACCACCCCTGAAACTAGCTCTTCCGTTGTACAAGCTGGGATGGATTCACACTTAAGACTCTCTAGCAGCTGTTTTTCTGGAGTCTTTAACTCCCACTCACTTTTTTCATTACAGTTAACACTGTTGTCCAAAAGATCAGAACCTTGCAACAAACTTTTAAATATCTCCCCCATTTGTGCATCACTCACTAAATTAAAAGTGAGGCTAGATGCTTGCTGTTCAGTAAGAATCTCAAAGCAGCGTTCTGGCTTCAAAGCAGCATGCTGGGATGTCTGTGTATCCTCTATGGTGCTGCCTTCCACTCTTCCTGGCTTTGGGGTGCTCGGACAGTTCAGTTCCAAGAAATGCTCTTCAGATTGCGAGCACTTATTATCAAAGCAAGTGTTCAAGTTTTTTTTAATATCATGCTTTACTGTGTTAATATTGGAGTTATTTTGGTCCTGATGTTTTTCCTCAGATTTTTTACATCCTAGTGAAGACCTATAATAAATATAATCTTCTGATTTTGAGGATTTCTCTTTCGGCATTTCTTTGCTTAAGCTGACCACATTCCCCTTCTGAGAATTTGAATACTGTGTTTTCTCTTTATTTTTTTCAAATTTCCCGTCATCACTGTCACTGCCAAAGTTTGTGAAATCACAAAACTTTATTAAGATTTTCTTAAGCTTTGCAAACAAATAATCAAGTTGTTCATCTACAAATTTCCATGCTTTTTTTTTCATATCTGGTAGTTGTTGTTCAAATAAACGATCCACTATGCCATTCTTTTTAACTTGCTTAAGTTTGGATTCTATAACATCACAGAGATTCTTCTGTAAAGTAGTCACTGACTTAGAGATTTTGGATAAGTCAAGGTGTTTAATGAGAGATGTAAAACTCAAAATTGCTGACTCAATAATTCTGTGAAATTGTTTCAATGGAAATTTTACCTTGAATTTCATGTAGTTTTTCCTTACATGTTTTCTTATCATTCGTAACATGTGCATAACTTCTCGCACAGAAGAAGGTACAGCAATAATTGGAACTATTTTTTCCAGGATGGAGGTGCTCATTGTCTTATCTTTTTTCTCTATTTTTGAAGACTTGCTAGATTCACTCTGTCTCTTATTCCATTTCCTTTTGGTCTGCTGAATTTTTATAGAAGATGTTTTCCTATTGTCTTTATCCAAATGCACAGTACTTTTCCTACTTCCTGGGCTAGTCTTTCTATTCTGCACTTCAGTAGAAGCTCTAGGTTTGGCATTGTTTTCAAAACTTTTTTGTGGTTTAGAGTTTTCACTGTCACTTATAATTTCTCCTTCTTCTAATTCATCTAAAGATGAATTCTTATGAGAGTTTGCCTCTGTAAACTTGTCAGACTTGCAAACTGGCTTTTGATTTTCCTTGTTGAGATCAAACTGACTCTTGGAGGTAGAATGAGCTGAATTTGGTGGAAACACATCTGTGGAAGAAAAAAGTATACTATAGTCACATGACCACTGAGTCTTAGTCATCTGACATCTCCATACTAAATATAACAAAAAAATTAAAACCAGGCATTTCATTATTTTAATAGCTTTTTTCTTAAGCAGAATGATAATACCTAATACTTATTCATGTCACTGGTCTTGACTGTTCTCAGAAGGTGTCTGACAACAGTGAAAATGTAGAGTTTGGTCATTTGGATAACCATCAACCAACTGTTCAGGTATCTTTACTTCAGGTTAGCAGCATCACCTACTCTATGCCATGTGGTGTTGGCTTTTGAACAATAAAAATATATCTGAAAGCAAGGAAAGAGTATTTGAAATGTCCTACCACTCCCATTTTTTTGTAGAAATGAGAATTACCTTATGACTAAAGCCTCAATTTCTAGTTAACAATGGGAGTCTCAGTGTGTTAATTATGTTATCAAAAAACAAAAAGTACTACCTCATCTTGCTTATGTATTTTACATTCTCACAAAAAGATAAGTTATAAAAGATAATATAGTCCTGGCCACTAGGCTCAGTGGTTAGAATGTCAGCCTGCAGACCAGAGAGTCCCAGGTTCGGTTCCCGCTAAGGGCACGTACCTCGGTTGCAGTTTGTCCCCAGCCCCAGTTGGGGTCATGTGGGTGGCAACCATTCGATGTGTCTCTCTCACATTGATGTTTCTCTCTCTCTCTCTTCCTCCCTCTCTCCCTCCCACTCTATCTGAAGATAAATGCAAAAATGTCCTCGGGTGAGGATAAAAAAAAAGATAATATAAACAATTACCTTTATGACTGTTATATAATGGAACTCGAGATGGGCTTTCCAATCTAAGCACTTTCGATACAGGTCTCACTGGACTATTCAGAGGACTAATGACTTCTGGAATAGGTCTTAGGTGATTAAGGTCAATGCTCAGAACCGAGTTCTCATCGTTATATACTGAGTTGGTTTCACCAATTTCCATTTTGTGGTCCATTAACTCAGTGTGCTGAAGTGAAGATTCTGGAGTTTCTTTAGGTAAGCAAGGTTCCAAATGACAAGACTTACTCCCAACAAGTGATTTATCTACAAGAGAAGGCTCAAACTTTGGGCTACCAACTTCTGAAAGAACCACTGGCAAAATGCCAGCTTTTTCCACTAAAGGCTGCAAAACACTTTCATTGGATTTGGCCACTTTTGTTGAAAAAGCCTCCTTCATTTCCATATCTTCAGAAATACTACAAGCATTTAAACTGTCATTTATTTTGTTATCCAATTCTAAGCCAAAGTTTTGAGAAACATTTGTTTGTAATATGTCCAGTACCACAGGAGCTGCTGTCCTTGCACCATCAATGGTTTGTTCCTTTTCTGCTGCTGATGGAAACAAAGATTCTGTTTGTTCCATTTCCACAGGTGCTGAGGAAGAAGTCTCTGTACCACAAATAGGCAAGTCACAATGCATAGTATTCTCAACAGATTTAACTAACAAACTATTTTCTTCTTCCCTTTTCTGTTCTGAAATACTGGTCCTGGATTCAGATGGTGCTGTTGCAAGAGCATCTTTTGGTTCCAATAACTTTGATCTGGTTTCCTCTGTGATATGTTCATTCACAGAGGGAACACATGTCACTGTTTTATCCTGTACCAAGGATTCCAAATCACCTACACCACTGGATTTGGGAGTACTGATTATTTTATGCTGATTACCCTGAGGAACAGGCTGCTTTTTAGCAGGAGAAAGAGTTAAGTTCAATTTTTCCATAAAACTCAACTTTAAGTCTTTGCTTTTTGTTTCATTTGAACCACTCTCAGCTTTAACTGCAAGATCTTTATTATCTGTACCTTCAGAAACATCATTACTATGGACTTCACCTTTATCATTTTTTGGTCCATTCTGTCTCTTTAAATCAGTAGTGGTCTTTTTAGTTTCTTTATTAGTCTTCTGCAAATGTCCTGTAGGTGTTCTTTTTTCACTTCTCATATACTTGTTTCCTTCTTTGCTTTCTTGTTCTCTTTTCCTCTTATCTTCAGTTCTATGCCTCTCTGCCTCAAAAGGTATACTTTCCCTTTGGTGCACAGCATCAACTTCCTTGGAGTCAATGTGTTTGTGAGTTCTACTGGTTGAAAGAAAGGATGAATATCTTCCTTCTTGAAAACTATGATTACTTATACCCCGGTCTCTTTTACCATCTTCCCTTTCTCTTTTCTCTTCTAGATGGTATTTACTTGAATTATGAGATTTTATTTCATTCTTGGAATGAGGAAGAGATGATACTCGTTCAGACCTTCTCCAATAATCCTGGTCTTTTACTACTGATTTAGGTTTTTGATCAATTTTTCTTTCTTCTTTGTCTTGTGATTTAAGTTCTTTTTTATTTATATTTTGTGATCTTTCACTTTGCCTTTCTAGTTTTCTGTCACTTTGAGATTCTACTCGAGTGTGTGACCTCTCTCTAAAGGTATCCTTCTGCCAGGAAGAGCCAAAGCGTTCATTTTTATAATCCAAATCTGTGTTACTTTTAAACTTTGAATTTTTGCTTTCAGTCTTTGGTTCACCTTTACCATATTTCTCAGGACGTCCTTGTAGCCTTTGAATAGCCTCTGTGTTCCTTGGTTCACCATCACCACAGCTAGTGTTTAAGTCTTTTCGTATTCTATCATTTCCTCTACTATATTGGCTATATCCACTATCTTTTTTCCCTCTTCTATTATCGTCATTTGAGCTACCCTCACCAACCTCATAATGGGAACGTGACCAAATGCCATTGGTGCAGTGTTTTTCAACAGATGAAGGCAAATGCAAAGTGCTTTTTTTTTCCAAATGCAGTTTTACTTCCTTTTCGATGTTTGGCAGCGAAGTGCTATGATGTCCATCTTTAGAAACATCACATTTAACTCTGTGATCAGTCTTTGCACAATCATCCACATGGGGAGATCTAGATGTAAGATCTTTCGTTTTAACCATATCCGATGTCCTTGAAGTTTTACGATTATTTCGAAAATGTGGAAACTCAGACAATCTATTAAGAAATGAAAAATTTTAAAAAACAGTTATTGCTTTTTAATAATCCAAATTTTAATCACTTGATAAACTTTAAAATTCAGGAGCCCACATACTAGAAAAACTCATTTTACTTTGTATAAAGGCGTAAGTAATAAGAATTTACCTGCTTCCAACTAAATGGGCCAGTTTTCAGAACATGGAACTCTCATTTCTTTTCTCAAACAAGATCTCTAGGACCTCTCAGTTCTACCCCAGCACTTGCCAATGTCTTTCAGACTTTCTTCACCACAAACGTCAAACTCAAACTAACCACAAATTCACCACAAATTCTTTTAGAACAGTGACATTATTTTTTTTGCCCTCACTCAATCTAGCCCAACTAAAATAGAAAAAAAAATGAAACACTGTGGGACAACAGAGATGATCTGTTTTACACATAATCCCCCAGTAAACCAAAGCATCAATAGCCACCTTAAAGTGGCACACACTGTGCAAAGAAAAAGAATATAGAGCTGGCTGGCCGGTGTAGCTCAGTGTAGCTCAGTGGTTGATCGTCAACCAATGCACCGGGAGGTCACCCATTTGGTTTCCGGTCAGGATACATGTCTGGGTTGTGGGTCTGATCCCCAGTGGGGGGGCGTGAAGTAGGCAGCCAGTCAATGTTCTCTCTCATCGATGTTTCTGTCTCTCTCTCCCTCTCACTTTCTCTCTAAAAAAAAATAAAATAAAATAAATAAATAAAGGAAAAAAATTTTTAAAAAAGAGAATATAGAGTCGTATTCCTTTCCTAAGGGAATGGTATTTATTGTTTTTTCTTTAAAGCTGAAGTCTTAAAGTCTTCTATTAGTGTTTCAGAAAACTAGCAGTTTTCTTAAAAAATGTAAATACCTCATTTTAGCTTTTTACAATAAGTCCATCTTCCTGAACTTCCATAATTTCCCTGGATTTCCACAAATCTATTCCCAGTTAGTACTATGTGTAGAGAATAAGGGGAGTCCTGGCCGGTTTGGCTCAGCAGTTAGAGCGTCGGTCCATGGACCAATGAGTCACGAGTTTGATTCTGGTCAAGGGCAAGTACCTCAGTTAGAGTTCGTCCCTGGCCCTGGTTGGGGTTGTGCAGGAGGCAACCAATCGATGTGTCTCTCTCGCAGCGATGTCTCTCTCTCTCTCTCCCTCCTACTCTATCTGAACAAAAATGGAAACATATCCTCAGATGAGAACTAAAAAAAAGAATAAGGGGAGATTTTTATAGAAGAGGACACAGGAAACATGCAACCTAAGGCAATGTGTAGACATTATATGGATCTTAATTTGGTTGAAATGTATCCCCTCAAAATTCATTTATTAAAATCCTAATCCCCAGTATCTCAAAATGTGGCCTTATTTGGAGATAGGATCTTTACAGAGGTAATCAAGTTAAAATGAAGTCAGTAGGGTTGGGGCCATAATCCATTATGACTACTGTCCTCACAAAATCAGGAAATTTGGACACTGACATATGTATAGAAGAAAGACAATATCAAGAGACATAGGAAGAAGACAACCATCTACAAGCCAAGGAGAAAGGCGTGGAACAGGTCCTTCTATCACATAGCCTTCAGAAGGAGTCAATCTTGCTAAAACCCTGATCTTGGACTTTTAGCTTCCAAACTGTGAGACAATAAATTTGTTATTTAAGCCACCCAGTTTGTGGTACTTTGTTATGGCCGCCCTAGGAAACTTAATACAGATCCTGATTCAAAGAACCAAACATTAGAAGATACCTTTGAGACAAATGGGGAAATGTGGTCACAAAAAGCACTAACCATAAAAGAAAAAAAATATTTTTGTATGCATGAACAACGGACATGGACAACAAAGCTGGGGACAGGGAGGGGAGGGGAGGGGGGAATCAGTGGGGGAAAAAGGAGAAACATCTGTAACAAAAATAAATTAATTAATTTAAAAAAAAGAAAAAATATTTAAAAACTGAATTTCATTAAAATTAAAAACTTCTGTTCCTCACAAGACACAATAGAGTGACAGACAAGTCATACAATGAGAGATGTTTGCAATAAATCTATCCAACAAAGAACTCATTCAACAAAGGATGTGCATCATACTTATTAAACTTCAGTTCCTAAATGACCGTTCAAGACCAGAGCTCAAAACACCTAGCTAGTATAACTCCATACTAAATAATCAATTGTTTTATTTTAAAATAAACCTTCACATTAAACACTTTCCAGAATTTACACTTTTAAATCTTCACCTTCAATTAATCTTTCAAATATTTCTATTGAACATGAAGTTTCAACCAAATGATACACATTTACCATTAGAATACTAGCTATAGTTCACAATTTAAAAGTGCAATTACTGCCCTGGCCGATATGGCTCAGTGGCTGCATGTTGGCCCACAGACCAGAGAGACCCAGGTTCGGTTCCCACTAAGGGCATGTACCTCAGATGCAGTTTGTCCCCGGCCCCAGTTGGGGTTGTGTGGGTGGCAACCACTGGATGTGTCTCTCTCACATCAATGTTTCTCTTTCTCTCTTCATCCCTCTCTCCCTCCTGCTCTATCTGAAGATAAATGCAAAAAAACAGTCCAAACCAAGGATAAAAAAAAGTGCAATTACTGCCCTAGTCGGTTTGGCTCAGCAGCTGGAACATCAGCCCATGGATCACAGAATCTCAAGTTCAATTCCCAGTCAAGGGTGCATACCTCAGTTGTGGGTTTCGATCCCTGGCCCCAGTCAGGGTCATTCGTGGGAAGTGGGGGATGGCAATCAATGTGTCTCTCTGAAATCCATGTGTCTGTCTGTCTGTCTCTCTCTCTCTTTCCCCTCCTCCCCCCCATCTAACAATCAATGGGAAAATATCGAGTAAGGATTAAAATAATAAAAAAATAAAAGTGCAAATATTTGACAGAATATTTATTACATAATGTTTAACCATGTCAAACGATCTAATGACATAACTCTTATCATTTATTCACACAGTCTCTGTTTTCACCTGTTCAAACATCATACCCATCCCCTAAAAGATTCAAATATATATAAAATTTCCCCTACACTAAAGAACCAATCTTAGTCCTGGCCAGTGTGGCTATTGGTTGGGTGTCATTCCATGCACTGAAAGGCTGTCGGGTCAATTCCCAGGCAGGACACATGCCCAGTAGGGAGCGTGCAGGAGGCAGCTGATGGTTGTCTCACTCTCATATCGCTGTTTCTCTCTCCCCTCCCCCAACCACTTCCTCTCTAACAATCAATTAAAAAAAAAAAAAAAAAAAGTCCGGCTGGTGTGGCTCAGTGGTTGAGCATCGACCCATGCACCAAGAGGTCCCCAATTTGATTCCCAGACAGGACATATGCCCAGATTGTGGGCCAGATCCCCAGTGTGTGGGAGGGCACGCAGGAGGTGGCCTATATATGTTCACTCTCATCAATGTTTCTATCTCTCCCTCTCACTTCCTCTCGCTCTAAAATCAGTAAAGAAAATAAATTTAGACTTCTAGTCAAGATGGTGGCGTAGGTAAACGCGGTATCGCGTCCTCCCACAACCACATCAAAGTTACAACTAAACTACAGAACAACCATCATTCAAAACCGCCTGAAATCAAGCTGAATGGAAGTCCTACAACTACGGAATTAAAAAAAGCAGCTACATCCAGACTGGTGCGAGGCGTGGCAGTGGCGGCGTGCAACGCTGGTCCCACACCCAAGTGTGGCGGATAAAAATCAGGAGGTTCCCCCGGCTGGGAAGGTCCTTCCTGAGGACTGAGGGGTCCCCGTCCCACACCAGGTGCCCTGCTCAGGGTTCCAGTGCCAGGAAGAGAAGTCCCCATAACTTCTGGCTGGAAAAACCAGCGGAAACTGAGGCTCAGGGAAGCTGAGGTGGCTGGAGCCCCAGGCAGCTCCCTAAAAGGCCGGCGCACAGACTTATCGGACTCTCTCCCTCTAAGCTCGGAGGGGAGGCAGCTCAAGGGGCACCAGAGACATACAGGGAAGAACTGAGCTGTTTGGCACAGGAGCGAGGGCTGGAGAGGGGGCTTCCTTGGGGACAAACGAGGCCTTTGTTCCTTTGGTGAGCCCTTCCCGGGGGCGGCAGACAGAAGCCATATCTGGGACTCCAGCAACCTGGCTCACACTGGTAGCCCCGCCCTGCTGACTCCCTGAGGCCCCGCCCCACTCCACACAACTTTCAAGCCCACCCAAGCTGTTCCCACTTGCTTAACCATAGGATGGGCCAGTCTTGGATCCTGCTTCAGGTTTTTCCTAAATTCTTTCAAACGAGCAGCATTGGGTCTCAGATAGCCCCATACCTCTCATTAAGTAATACACAGAAACAAACACAGGGTGGCAGCCAAAATGAGGATACAAAGAAACAGGTTCCAAATGAAAGAACAGAACAAAACCCCAATAGAAGAACTAAGCGAAAGGGAGATAAGCAACCTAACAGATACTGAGTTCAAAATACTGCTTATAAGGATGCTCAATGAACTTAGTGAGAATCTCAGTGAACTTAGGGAGGGCCTCAAGAGCATAAAAAAGGACCAGTTAGAAATCATGGATACACAGTTAGAATTGAAGGAGGCATTAACTGAAATGAAGAATAATTTACACAGCTTCAATAATAGAGTATGTAAATCCAAGGAGCAAACCATCGATTTGGAATATAAGGAAGCAAAAAATCCCCAATCAGAACAGCAAAAAGAAAAAAGAATCCAAAAAAATGAGGATAGTGTAAGGAGCCTCTGGGACAACTTCAAGCGTGCCAACATTCGTATCTTAGGGGTGCCAGAAGGAGAAGAGAGAGAACAAGAAATCGAAAACCTGTTTGAAACAATAATGGCAGAAAACTTTCCTAACTTGGTGAAGGAAACAGATATACAAGTCCAGGAAGCACAGAGAGTCCCAAACAAGATGAACCCCAAGAGGCCCACACCAAGACACATCATCGTCAAAATGCAAAAGGTTCAAGACAAAGAGAGAATCTTAAAAGCAGCAAGAGAAAGGCAGCTAGTTACCTACATGGGAGTTCCCATTAGGCTGTCAGCTGATTTCTCAAAAGAAACTTTGCAGGCTAGAAGGGAGTGGCAAGAAATATTCAGAGTGATGAAAACCAAGAACCTACAACCAAAATTATTCTATCCTGCAAAGCTGTCATTTAGAATTGATGGACATATAAAAACTTTCCCAGACAAGAAAAAGTTAAAGGAGTTCATCACCACCAAACCGTTATTATATGAAATGATGAAGGGTCTTTTTGAAGAAAAAGATAAAATGTATGAACAAACAAAATGGCAATGAATACATATCTATCGACAATGGAATCTACAGACAAAATGAACAGGAAGAACAGAAACATTCTCATAGATACAGAGAACATTTTGTTGGTTGCCAGTTGGGAAGGGGGTTGGGGGAATGGGTGAAAAAGGTGAAGGGATTAAGAAGCACAAATTCATTGCTAGACTGACAAACCTCAAAGGGAAAGGGGTCAGGGGGGTGGGAAGAAATAAACCAAAGAACTTATATGCATAACCAATGGACACAGACAATAGTGTGGGAAAAGGTGGAAGGGGAGCGGGAGGGGGGAAGAGGGGGTTAATGGGGGAAAAATGTGGAACATCTGTAATACATTTTACATCCAACAATAAAGATTTGAAAAAAAAAAAAAGAAAAAAAATAAATTTAAAAAATAAAAAATAAACAAAAGAACCAATTATATACTAGTTGCATTGGTGGTTTTGGTTAGTAAACACACACACACTCATCTTCATTTTCAAAAGGACTAAAGTGCTTTATAAAGTCCATAGGTAGAATTGTCTTCATTCACTCTTCAACCATTGACTGAGTACTATGTGCCAAGCACTATGCTAGGTGCTTGATAAAATGGAGAGGATACAGAGAAATGGTCCCTGCTCCCATGAGGCTTACACCTTAGTGGCAGAAAAAGATACTAATCAAGTAATACCATTCATGATTTTAAAAACTACAAGTATGTAACCCTGGCTGGTTTGGCTCAGCAGTCAGAGCGCTGGTCTGCAGTCCTGAGAGACCCAGGTTTGGTTCCCGCTAAGGGCATGTACCTCGGTTGCAGTTTGCCCCCAGCCCTGGTTGGTCGTATGGGTGGCAGCCACTCGAGGTGTCCCTTTCACGTCGATGTCTCTCTGTCTCTCTCTCTGTGTCTCTCTCTCTCTCTCCCCCTCCCTCCCTCCCTCCCACTCTATCTGAACAAAAAATGGAAAAATGTTCTCAGGTGAGGATAAAAAATAAATAAAAAAATAAAATAAAATAAAAACTACAAGTGTAGCCCGGCCAGTGTGGCTCAGTGGTTGAGCGTCAACGCATGCACCAAGAGGTTGCTGGTTCAATTCCCAGTCAGGGCACATGCAGGGTGTGGGTCAAATCCCCAGTGTGAGGCATGCAGGAGGCAGCCAACTGATGTTTTCTCTCATTGATGTTTCTATCTCTCTCTCCCTCTCCCTTCCTCTCTCTCTAAAAATCAGTAAATAAAAAAAAATTAAAAAATAAAAAAAAACTACAAGTGTACATGAAGCTACAAAAAAGTGATTTGACCTAGTAAAGGAGAATAGACAAATATCCCCTATAAAAAGGATGCTTAGGCCAATACCTGAGGATGAATACATTATTTAGCAGGTGGAGAAGAGCATTCCAGGCTGTGGAATCAGTCCATGCAAAGGCAGAGCTCATGGTACATCCAAGGAACCAAAAGAATGCCAAAGATTGACCAGAGCTATAGAACTATGATACTAAGGCAAAGGAATACACTGAAGGCAAGGTGTGAAAAGTATCCTGGGACCATACTGTGAAGAACCTTGTAGGTCAAGTTAAGATTTATGATCTTTTATCCTAGGAACAATGATAAACCAATAATGTGTTTTAATTGAGAAAAGAGATAGGATGTCCTAGACAATGTGGCTCAGTTGGTTGGGCATCAACCTGTGTACCAAAGAGTTAGTTGCTGGTTTGATTCCTGGTCAAGGCATATGCCCAGGTTGTGGGCTCGATCCCTGGTGGAAGGAGGGCAGGAGAAAGCTGATCAATGTTGTGTTCTCTCAAGAGTTGTTTCTCCCCCTTCCTTGCTCTCTAAAAATCAATGAAGTATTCCTTGGGGGGAAAAGGGGAGTGGGGGCTAGAAGGTGGTGGTTCTGTGATAGTTAAATGTCCAGGCTTGCATTTTAGAAAGTGTCCAGTAACTTTAATATTGAGAGACACAACTCAGAGGCTAGAAAGAACAACCACCGATACAGAGATACCAGCACAAAGACTTCTGATAATTCTGATGAGAAGTGATGGTAGAAATGGAGAAAAATGATTTTGAAGAAAAATAAATAATAAGCACAAAAAAATCAACAGAACATGATTAATAAACCTGGATCTGAGATATGATCAAGAGGTAAGTGTCAATGACAACTCCTACCTAGGAAGGTGACTATGTGTCCCAGTTTGCCAAGCAATCTCAGGGTAATTATTAACAGTACCCCCTTCTATTCTCAAGGGTCCTGGTTTGGGCAATAAATTAAGTGGTCATTCTACACCTAGGTCTCTAACTTACACCAGCTGAATAAATGATGGGAAATCCACTGAGCTCAAGGGAAGAGGTTTGATCATAAATTCAGTTGTGGATGAGGTAATTTGGAAAATTTTATACAGATATGAAGTAGTTATTTACATATACATGGAACTGACCTAGTATGAGTAAGAAAATACTGACAGAGAAAGGAAAGGACACAGATTTGAGCTTTGAGGAATTCCAACTTAGCCAGGTACAGAAGAGTAAATCTCAACTTAGGAAGAAGACTAAGAATTGTGAAAGCCAAAAGGGGGACTATTTCAGGAAAGGAGGGTCAACTATGTCAAACAGCACATGAGGATAAGTTAAAATGAGAAGTTAAGATTACACGTCTTATTTAGTGTCAGTCACTATTAACAAAATGACAACTGTTTCACTGGACCAATGGAAACAGAAGTCACCAGTATTGGGTTAAAGAGTAAATAAAAATAGGAAACAGAGACAGAAAGTTTATATAACTGTTTTGGAGGTTTAGCTATGAAGGAGAGGAGACATGAAATTCTCTGGAGCAGAATATTTACCCTAACCAGAGAGAGAGAAATAAAAATCCATTTGAGAGGGAAAAGAATATACAATTGAGAGATAGTTTCAGGGTTGTCTATTGAGAAGGGATATGAGCACTCTTGATACTTTAGTAATTTGGTCAGAGCCTAGAAGAACCCATAACATATATACCCATCATCTTCACAGAAGCAAAGAGTACCAGAGCAGATCCCACTGTATTAGAAAACTGAATATATTCAGAGAGAGGTATATGGCAATATTCTATTTAATAATCATATATATCATTATGATAATATACCATTAGTATAATGCATGATTTTCATATCTTTCCAAAGTTTAAAAATATTACACAATCAATACATCCCTCAATTATACCTTTGGTGAAGATTACTTATTTCCTCATCCTTGCGGTTTATTTCCATTCTAGCAGTTTTGATAAGTGCTGAAATATTCTTCTTAAGAGACTGGTTTTCATTTCTTAAGCTGAAATTCTAAACATCATAAAACATATTTAATAAAGTATATATCTACAGGATTATTAAACTACTACTTGTAATAGCTAATGACTGAGTGCTAATTATATGCCATGCATCACATACTTTGTCTTTTGTAATTCTCAAAAAAGTCCTATGAGAAGTACTATTATGCTCATTATACAGATGGGACAGCTGAGATTCAGAGATTGGCACCAGAGAAAGGTCACCTAAAATGTGAAACTACTGAAAATAGAAATCAAAATGAAAAAAAAAAAGAAAACACATAATGAAGAAAAAGTTCTCCCAGGGTCATTATCTTAAAACTGATACTATAAATAAAAATTGTGTTATATTTAACAACTTGGCTTTAATTTGCAAAAATGTACTAATTATCAGATGAACAAAGAATGAATCTAGGATTGACTGGTTCTTTGTGGGAAAGGGAAAAGAAAGAGAAACAACATTACCAAAAAATAAAAATCAGAACAAGACATGACATTCTTGATTTTTGCAGCATGATCACAAAATCATTCTAGAAAAAGTTCTGACAGCATCACCATGTCCTCCAACAGCCATTCTAAATCTTTGTTCATCCAACCATTCTCTTTTAAAACACCTAATCTCAGAAGAGCTAAACCAAAGAACTTATATGCATAACCAATGGACACAGACAACAATACTGTGAAGGGGTGGGCGGAATCAGGGAGGAGAGTGTCTGGGGGCGGAAAGGAGAAACATCTGTAACAAAAATAAATTAATTTAAAAAATTAAAAATTAAAAATAAACCACCTAATATCACTTCTAGGGAGTTTCTATTATTTAACTGTTAACCAGCTAACAGATCTTTTATGTAAATGTCATTTAACAAATCAAGTATTTTTCCCACATCAAGTATATAGGAAATTACGCATTTTTTGTCAGATTTTCTATTTCACTTAATACTAAAAGAAAGTTTCCTTATCAACTGCCAAAAACATTTTTAATTTTGATTTTAATACTTAATAGGGCAAAAATAAAATACTTATTATAATGGTACCTGTGTCTGTATTTCCTTGAACTTTTTCATCAGCTCTTTGATTTGTAGCTGACATTTTCCATATTTTACTTGCAACTGTAATATATAAAAAGATTAATTTGAGCATCATTCTTAATTATTTTCTTAGCGTAAATGACATTTTAAAATATTTAAAATGTTATAAATTAGCCCACTAAAAAAGGTAGATGAGGTCTAGTTCTACTATCAGGGATTTAGTAAGATTATTGGTTTTTAATGTTGGACTTAAACACAGACAACAGTATGGTGATTATAGAAAAAAAGGGGGTGGGGGAGGTAGAAGAGGGTAAAGGGGACATAAACGGTGATGAAGAGAGACTTGACTTGACTTTGGATGCTGAACATACAATACAATGTGCAGATGATGTATTACAGAATTATACACTTGAAACCTATATAATTTTATTAACCAATATCATCCTAATAAATTCAATAAAAATTTAAAAATAAATAAACAAAGTTGGTCCTACAAATAATATATTTTGTTGGGTTTCACACTCAAACCTTAAATTCAAGTAAGATAGACAGAAATTTCTGATTTAAGTCTTAGGACATTTTATAACTTAGTACAAATCATGAAAAGAGAAAATGTTATATCACGCTGATAGCCTGTTGATGTTTTATATATTTAAACATTTAAATTTAATCAGGCAAATATAACTAATTTAGACAAGCATTCAGAAAACATTGTTTTAAAAAGATCTGAAGACAGAAACTGACTTATGTATTCCTTTAGTGTAAGAGTTATTTCCTAAATACAGAATGTTTGTCCAACTGTAAGTGAATGCCAGTAAGGAGCTACAAAAGAGTAAAATAACTGTCTTTAATAATTCTGGCAACCCATACGTCATTATATGTTGCCTCCTTTGCAGTTCCTTCTTCAGTAAGAATTTCTTCATATAAATCCAAACAATTTCTGGGTGGTACACAGGACTTGGAAGGACTATCTAAAACAAACAAACAAAAAACCCTTACATTAAAATATGTATTTCTAGATTCAATGCAATACTATCAAAATTCCAATGTCATTTTTCACAGAAATACAACAATCTTAAAATTTGTAAGCAACCACAAAGACTGCAAATAGCTAAAGCAATCTTGAGAAAGATTAAAGCTGAAGGCATCACAATTCCTGATTTTAAACCATAATACAAACCTACAGTAATCAAAACTGTATGTACTGCAGTAAACAGAGACATATAGATCAATAGAACAAAACAGAAAGCCCAAAAATAAACCCACACGACTATAGTCAATTAATTTATAACAAAAAAGCCAAGAATATACAATGGGGAAAGAAAAGTCTCTTCAATATATAGTGTTAGGAAAACTGAGTAGCCACATGCAAAAGAATAAAATCAGGTCCCTATCTTACACCATATACAAAAATCAACTCAAAATGGGTTAAAGACTTGAATGTAAGACCTGAAACTAAATCTTCTAGCGGGGGAAAGAATAGGGGTAAGTTCCTGGACATTGATTTTAGCAATGATTTTTCAAAATTTGACACCAAAAGCAAAAATAAACAAGTGGGACTACATCAAATTAAAAAGCTTCTGCACAGCAAAGGAAACCATAAACAAAATGAAAAGGCAACGTACCAAATGGGAGAAAATATTTGCAAATTGTTTATCTGATAAAAAGTTTAATACCCAAAATATATAAAGAACTCACACAACCCAACAACAACAAAACTGACAAAAAATGGCAAAGGAACTGAACAGGCATCTTCCCAAAGACATACAAATGGCCACCAGGTACACGAAAAGGTGCTCAGCATCATTAATTATCAGAGAAATTCAGATCAAAACCTTAATGATATATCACTTCATACCTGTTAGGACGATTATTAAAAACACAAGCGCCCTGGCCGGTTTGGCTCAGCGGTTAGAGCGTCAGCCTGCGGTCCGGAGAGACCCGGGTTCGGTTCCCGCTAAGGGCACGTACCTCGGTTGCAGTTTGTCCCCGGCCCTGGTCGGTTGTGCGGGTGGCAGCCACTCGATGTGTCCCTTTCACGTCGATGTTTCTCTCTCTCTCTCTCTCTCTCTCTCTCCCTCCCACTCTCTCGGAACAAAAAAAAAATGGAAAAATGTCCTCCGGTGAGGATAAAAAAAAAAAAAAAAAAAAAAAAAAGCCCTGGCCAGTTTGGCTCAGCGGTTAGAGTGTCGGCCTGCGGTCCGGAGACCCGGGTTCGGTTCCCGCTAAGGGCACGTGCTTCGGTTGCAGTTTGTCCCCGGCCCTGGTTGGTTGTGTGGGTGGCAGCCACTCGATGTGTCCCTTCACGTCGATGTTTCTCTCTCTCTCTCCCTCCCACTCTATCTGTACAAAAAATGGAAAAATATCCTCGGGTGAGGATAAAAAAAAAACAAAACAAAACAAAAAAACACAAGCGCCCTGGCCGGTTTGGCTCAGCGGTTAGAGCGTCAGCCTGCGGTCCGGAGAGACCCGGGTTCGGTTCCCGCTAAGGGCACGTACCTTGGTTGCAGTTTGTCCCCAGCCCTGGTTGGGTCGTGTGGGTGGCAACCACTCGATGTGTCGCTTTCACTTCGATGTTTCTCGCTCTCTCCCACTCACTCTATCTGAACAAAATATCGAAAAATGTCCTCGGGTGAGGATAAAAAAAATAAATAAATAAAAATAAAAACACAAGAGACAACAAGTGTTGGGAAGGATGTAGAGAAAAGGAAACCCTTATACACTATTGGTGGGAATGTAAACTGGTACAGTTACTATGGAAAAGAAAAAATGTAAAATAGATCTGCCATATGAACCACCAATCACAGCTCTGGGCATATATATAAAGAAAATGAAAACAGGATCTCGAAGAGCTACCTACACTCTACATGTTCACTGGGGCATTATTCACAATAGCCGAGATACAGAAACAACCTAAAGTGTCCAACAATGGAAGAGAAAGGATAAAGAAGATGTGTGTGTGTGTGTGTGTGTGTGTGTGTGTGTGTGTGTATACTACACTAGAATATTATTCAGTCATGAGAAAGGACATTCCGTCATTTGTGACAACATGGATGAACCTTGAGGGTATTATACTAAGTGAAATAAGTCAGAAAAAGATGCACAGTATGTATCACTTACATGTGGAATCTAAAAAAGCCAAATGCACAGAAACAGAGCTAGAATGGTGGTTAAAAGGAGCTAGGGGTAGCAGAAAAGATATGTTTATCAAAGTACAAACTTCCAGCTGTAAGATGAGTAAGTCTGGTGAGCTAATGTACAATATAGACATTAGAGTTAACAATACTATATTATATAATTGAAAGTTGCTAAGAGAATAGATCTTAAATGTTCTCACCACAAAAATGAGATAATAACTATGTAATGTGATATAGGTATTAACTAACTCCATGCTAACTCCATGGTGGTAATCATTTTGCAATATACAAGTGTATCAAATCAACGTATTGTACACCTTAATCTTAATTTTATGTCAATTATACTTTAATAGAGGTGAAAAATAAATAAATAATATATGTTAAGATTTTGGATGTTGTGTCTATTGCAACTCAACGGGTTATACATTTCTCCACCCTCTGCATTTAATCCATTATCCATACACATTTCACAGATGACAGTTGGAAAACTAATTTACCTGAAATAGGTGTGTTAACAAATGAGGTGTGAGGGTGATACGTGTTCAAAGTTTTGAGAGATTTGATCATGGAGAAGGTTTCCAATTTGGATAGGTAATGAGCCTCCCTGCATATCACACTCTCGCTGATATACTTGAAAATATTTAAAGTAACTATCGTTTTCAAAAGTTCTGGAATCATGAAATCTGTGATAGTATGAGTAGTGATAAATGTACAGAAAAGACCACCAGTTGCTTTTCAATAGTACAAAATATTTTTGCACAAGGTCCAGTTAAGTCTGAGACCTAGATAAGTAGCAAACCTGCATGCTAATTTGTTTTACTGATCAAGCTTTAGGCAAGAAAATAATTACCTAAGTGTAATAATTTCAAAAAATGAACAGATTGTTAAGGATCTATGAGTTACTCTAAATATTAGTAACAAAATAAACACTTTCAATAGACTGACCTAACAAAATAAAACTATTTTATTATAAAATTTACATACCAGAAACAGCACTGTCCAACCCAGCATATATGTCCAAAGAACCTTCATCATTATTTTTAAGAGGAGAAGCTGCAAGAAAATTAAAGACTAGTTAAAATGAACTTATTTCACTTAGGAAGTTTTTTGGGTTGTTTTTTTTTTTTTTTAATTATCATTGTGTCTTTTCCTGTTCTCTACTATGAAAACCTCCTAGGAAAGTTTGTCCTTTCCTGCTTTAAGGAACCAGGAAAAGAAAGATTCTTTATTAGTCTTGCACCAAAAAAGAATTATTTAAAAGTTTATACAGCCTGCCCTGGCCAGTTTGGCTCAGCAGTTAGAGCATCGGCCCACAGACCAGCATCCCCGGTTCGGTTCCCGCTAAGGGCATGTACCTCTGTTGCAGTTTGTCCCCTGCCCCGGTTGGGGTCGTATGGATGGCAACCAGTTGATGTGTCTCTCTCACATGGATGTTTCTCTCTCTCTCTTCCTCCCTCTCTCCCTCCCGTTCTATCTGAAGATGAATGCAAAAATGTCCTCGGATGATGATAAAAAAAAAAATTATACAGCCTTATAAACTAGATCTTAGCACATAGCTTTATGACTCTATTACCTCAGATGTACACTTAAAAACTCACTTTCAAAACATACTAGCGAGCTCTGGCCGGTTTGGCTCAGCGGTTAGAGAGTCGGCCTGTGGTCCAGAGAGACCCGGGTTCAGTTCCCGATAAGGGCACTAAGGGTTGCAGTTTGTCCCCAGCCCTAGTTGGGTTGTGCGGGTGGCAGCCACTCAATGTGTCCCTTTCACGTTGATGTTTCTCTCCCTCTCTCTCTCTTCCTCCCACTCTATCTGAGCAAAAACTGGAAAAAATATCCTCAGGTGAGGATTGGAAAAAAAAAAAAAAACATACTAGTGAGAAGATTCCAATTCCAGTAAGAGCAGAGCAGGTTCTATCAGATCAATTCTCCTGCAGATAACTATGATCTCTAAACAAAATATTTTAACTTGCACTGGCAAATCTAGCTCCACAGTTGGAGCATCAGCCCATGGACTGAAGGGTTGAGGGTTCGATTTCAGTCAAGGACATGTACCTGGGTTGCAGGTTTGATCCCTAGCCCCAGTTGGGATCATTCAGGAGGCAACCAACTGATGTGTCTCTTTCATGTAAATGTTCCTCTCTCTCTTTCTCCCTCCCTTCCACTCTCTCTAAAAATATATCCTAAGATGAGAATTAACAACAACAAAAATGAATGTTATCTGCAGTCAAATGCTCTTTCACTAGACTTACTGTAGTGATCATTTTGTAACATATACAGATATAAAATCATTACTGTCTACACCTGAAACTATTATGTTATATGTAAATTATACCTCATTAAATTAAAAAAAAAAAAAGGAAGCCATCTAAAGAACTAAAGAGCAACCCAAAGCATGAAGTAACTATATGGGAGACAACAGCACAGTGTGAGTTCCCTATCCCCCCTTTTATTACAATTTATTTTGTGGAAGAATAGGCCCTACCTAGCTAAAGTCCTACTGGGCAGTGAAAACTCAGATAGAAACCTCTAATCCTAATAGCCTGAAGAACCAACCAAGAGAATATAACTTTGGAAGTGGTAACGGAAACTAGAAAGTAGCAGACAGGCCCTGGCCGGTTTGACTCAGCGGTTGGAGCGTTGGCCTGAGGACCAGAGAGTCCTGGGTTCAGTTGCCACTAGGGGCACGTAACAATACATACATACATACATACATACATACATACATACCTAATAAAAAAAATAAAGTAGCAGAGAGGATTCCTCAAATCTCTGAAGTACCCTCAAACTACACAGGTAAAGGTTAAAACTGCAAAAAGTGAGATTAAAGATAAAAAATCTGAACACAGGTTTCAGCTACTACCTACCACAGGAAAGACAGAGTTTAGATTCAGCCAAGTTAAATACATACTAAAATTTAAATAGCAACACTCTTTGGAGTACTATGCAGCTGTAGAAAAGAAAGATCTCTTATCCTTTGAGACGACATGGAGGGACCTGGAAAGTATTATCCTAAGCGAGACAAGCCAAACAGAGAAAGACAAGTATCATATAATCTCACCTATTTGTGGAATATAATGAACATAACAGACTAAGGAATGGGGTAGTCCCAGAGACGTGGAAGTGGGGTACAGACTGACAATCCCCAGAAAAGGGGGTGGTGGGGAAGAGATAAACCACAGAACTTATATGCATGTATGCATGAATAATGGACATGGACAACAAAACTGGGGACAGGACGGGGAGGGAGGAGGTGGGGGAAATCAGTGGGAGAAAAAGGAGAAACATCTGTAACAAAAATAAATTAATTAATTAAAAATAAATAAAATAGCAACACTCTTCAGAGAAATAAATACAACAGAATCCAATGTCTCTATAAACATAGAATTTACAATATTCAGAATGCAATCCTGAATTACTACATAGGAAATCTTGGCAGAGAAAAAAACAATTAAAAGAACCAAATTAAAAATCCTAAACAAAAAACTACAATATCTAATGTAAAGAAATTCACTGAAAGGGCTTTTGACAGAAGAGCCAGTGAACTCATACATCAATAAAAATTACCCAATCTGAAGACCAGAGAGGGGGGAAAAAAAAGAACAGGCTTACAAGACAATATCAAAAGTCCTCAGGGGGGAATGCGAGGGGGGTGTGGTAGAAGAGAATAAGGTGGGGATAAATGGTGATGAAAGGAGAACTGATTTGGGGTGGTGAATACACAGTATAATATACAAATGATGTATTATAGAACTGTATACCTGAACCCGATATAATTTTATTAACCAATGTAACCAATAAATTCTATTAAAAAATAAATTAAAAGAAAAAAAAGTTCTCACATACTATATACATCTGTATACCCAAAAGAAAAGAGAGAGAATAAGTAAGAAAATGATACTAGCCCAGCCAGTGTGGCTCAGTGGATTGAGTGTCGTTCCATGGACTGAGAGGTCCCAGTTCAATTCCCAATCAGGGCATATGCCCAGATTTCAGGCTTGATCTCCAGGAGGGGTTGTACAGGAGGTAACCGATTGATGTATCTCGCTCACATTGACGTTTCTCTCTCTCTCTCCCTTCCTCTCTCTAAAAAATCCATTAAAATATTTTTAAAAAAAGAATGTGAGCATTTCTTAAAAAAAAAAAAAAAGAAAAGAAAATGATACTAGAAGAATTAAAAATGGTAAATAATTTAGTAAATATAAAGGATTGCCCAGCTGGTGTGGCTCAGTGGTTGAGCTTCAACCCATGTACCAAGAGGCAGCCGGTTGGATTCCTGGTCAGGGCACATGCCCAGGTTGTGGGCCCAATCCCCAGTGGGGAGCTTGTAGGAGGTGGCCAATCAATGTCCTCTCTCATCGATATTTCTAGCTCTCTCTCCCTCTCCCTTTCTCTCTCTCTAAAATCAATAAAGAAAAAATATTAAAGGGTTAACTTTTTCCTCTTAATTTCTTTAAGATTCGTAGAACAATTTAAAATAAAAACTAAAGCATTGTATTATAGGGCTTATGACATCTTTAACATAAGGGGATGGATGAAGTTAAATGCAGCTATGCATACAAGATTACATCTTACATGAAAATGTATAATACTTGTAAGTAGACTGCAAATGTTAAAGATGCATATTGTAGCCCGGCCGGTGTGGCTCAGTGGTTGAGTGTCAACCCATGAACCAAGAGGTCACCAGTTAGATTCCCAGTAAGGGCCCAATTCCCAGAAGGGAGCATGCAGGAAGTGGTCAATCAATGTTCTCTCTCATTGATGTTTCTATTATCTCCTGTATCTATAACCCCTGAGAAACCACTAAAAATAATGTACAAGTATAGCCAAAAAGCAAATATATAAATTAAAATGGAATTCTAAAATATATTTAAATATTTGAAAGAAGCATGAAAACCAAAAAGAAAAAAAGATCATGGAGACAAACTAAAATATTAAAATAATAGATCTAGCCTGGCTGGTGTAGCTCACTAGTTGAGCATCAAACCATGCACCAAGAGGTCACCAGTTCAATTCCTGGTCAGGTCACATGCCCAGGTTGTAGACTTGATCCCCAGCAGGGGATGTGCAAGGAACAGCCAATAGATGTTGTTTCTCTCTCATCGATGTTTCTCTCTCTCTCTCAACCTCTCTTCCTCTCCCTCTAAAATAAAAAACATATTTTAAAAATGCTTTTAAAAAATGATCTAAATCCAATCACAATAATAAAGGACATTACTGAGCTAACTGATAAAACTAGAATAAAAATCACAGATTAAGTATTGTATCAGTGTTAAATTTCCTGAAATTGTTATTATTCTATTATTACCTAAGAAAACCAATGTTTTCTTACAAAATACAAACTGAAGAATTTAGGAATAAAGAACCATAATATTTGCAACTTACTTTCAAAAGGGTCAGGAAAAAAAGTGTTTGTGTGTTTATTTTTTTTTTTATTTTTTTTTATTTTATTGATTTTAGAGAGAAGAAGGGAGAGAGATAGAAACATCGATGAGAGAACATCAATTGGCCACCTCCTGCGTATGTATCTCCACTAGGGATCTGGCCCACAACCTGGGCATGTGCCCTTACTGGAAACCAAACCAGTGACCTCTTGATGCATGGGTGAAGGCTCAACCACTGAGCCACACTGGCCAGGCTGTGTGTGTGTGTGTTTAAAAAGAGAGTATGTACACAGTGATAAAGCCACTGGCATAAAATATTAACAAGAGGTAAATTTGGAAGAAACTAGGTAAATGACTCTTCATATGTTTTCATTCTCACAATTTTTCTGTAAGCTTGAAATTATTTCCAAACAAATATAATAAAACAGTTATAAAAAGGTTATAGGAATAAAATATTTCTTCAAAAATTTTTTTTTCCTTATTGATTTTAGAGAGGGAGAAAAGGAGAGGGAGAGAGAGAGAGAAACATCAATGACAAAGAACATCGATTGGCTGCCTCCTGCACGCCACCCACTGGGGATCGGGCCCACAATCTAGGCATGTGCCCTGACCGGAAATCGAATCTGCGACCTCTTGGTGCATGGGTCTACGCTCAACCACTGAGCCACACAGGGAATAAAATATTTCATGAAATCATGGTAAGTGGTAAAAAGTAAAATACATACTGTGTCTGTAACTATCAAAAATCTATGTATGTAGACAGGAACTTGTGAGATAGTAATATGTAAAAATAAAAAGTTATTTCCACCCTGGCCAGTTTGGCTCAGCAAAACAGAGAGTCCCCGATTCACTTCCTGATAAGGGCACGTACCTTGGTTGCAGTTTGTCCACGGCCCCGGTTGGGGTCGTGTGTGTGGCAGCCAGTCAATGTGCCTCTCTCACATTGTTGTCCCCCACCCCACCCCGCTCTATCTGAAGATAAATGCAAAAATGTCTTTGGGTGAGAATAAATAAACAAAAGCAAAAACAAAACAGCTCTAACCACTGAGGAACTGGCCAGGGCAAAATATTTCCATTTTATAAGGTTATTTTGTTACCAGACCTTGGTTACCTTTCATAGTGTTAATTTTTCCCTGAACAATAAACAAGCACCATTCCATTTACTGGAAGTATTAACTTCAAGAGTAACAAATACCTATCTTATATTTTTCTGGATATGACAATAAAAATCATTACCACTTACATTTACAAAGTTGCTAATCCATGACATTTAAGAGGCTTGAAAGCATATAATAATTAAAAAGTTCACATTTACCAGGCACTTTCTATTTGCCAGGCAGTTTATTGTTTTAATTCATTTATGGGTGAGGGAAAAAAGTTGATAATTAAAGTGTTTTCTATGAGAATAACTAAGTGATTTTGTAATTAAATAAATTTAGAAAAACAATTAAAATGAGCTCTTACCAGAGAAGACATCAAATAAACTTGTTCCATCACCATTTTCATCATCTGCTGCCATGATCCTATTTCCTTTTGATAGTTGCCATCTAAAGTATTAAACATAAAGATTTTTCAATGTTAAAAATCAATCTCACAATTCAAAGAAAAAAACTAGCTTTCAGTTAAAAAGCACCTTTCAAATCTGTACACACTGAATGAGTTCACTCTCTATCATGACTTAATAAAAAAGCCTAACCCTGGCTTTGAGTGGTCTTGGTGAGGCCAAACATACATGTTTTCACCAATAACTTAGTAAGATAGGCAAACAGCAGAGCGTTTGATACTATACCAAGTTGGTAAAGGTGTGGGAAAACAGATACTCTCATATATCACTCAAGTGTATACTGGTACAAACTCTAAGGAGACGATTTCATAATAGCTATCAAGTTTTTAAATGCAAATACTCTTTGAACCAACAGTCTCATATCTAGTAATTTGTTTGACAGATATATAAGCATGTGGTTACAAAAATGTTATGTATGGAAAAATTTAATGCAGTGCTATTCGCAGTGGCAAGACTGAAAGCAACATAAAAGTCCAAAACAGAAAAAAAAATATATATATGCCTGGCCAGTGTGGCTCAGTGGATTGAACATTGTCCCACGGACTGAGAGGTCCTGGTTTGATTCCCTGGTCAGGGCACATGCCCAAGTTGCAGGCTTGATCCCCAGTAGGGGGCATACAGGAGGCAGCCAATCATGTATATCTTTCACATGGATATTCTGTCTCTCTCCCTTCCTCTCTCTCTAAAGAATCAATAAAAACATTTTTTAATCTAATTTATCTGAGCTCGGCCAGTGTAACTCAGTGGTTGAGCATCGATCCATGCAACAAGAGGTTACAGGTTCGATTCCCAGTTAGGGCACTTGCCCAGGTTGTGGGCACAATCCCCAGTGGGGGGCATGCAGGAGGTGGTCAATTGGTGTTCTCTCTCATGGATGTTTCTATCTCTCTCTCCCTCTCCCTTCCTCTCTCTCTAAAAATCAATAAAGAGCCCTTGCCAGTTTGGCTTAGCAGTTAGAGCTTCGCCCGCAAACCAGTGAGTCTTGGGTTCAATTTTGGTCAAGGGCATGTATGTCAGTTGCAGTTCATCCCTGGCCCTGGTCGGGTCATGTGGGAGGCAACCAGTCGATGTGGCTTTATCACATTGATGTTTCCCTCTCTCCCACCCTATCTGATGATAAATATTAAATTAAATTAAATTAAATTAAAATCAATAAAGAGTCCTGGCCGGTTTGGCTCAGCAGTTACAGTGTCAGCCCACGGACCAGAGAGTCCCAGGTTCGGTTCCGACTAGGGGAACGTACCTTGGCTGCAGTTTGTCCCCGGCCCCGGTTGGGGTCATATGGGTGGCAACCAGTCGATGTGTCTTTCTCATGTCGATGTTTCTCTCTCTTTCTTCCTCTCTCCCTCCTGTTCTATCTGAAGATAAATGCAAAAATGTCCTCAGGTGAGGATAAAAAAAAATAAAATAAAATAAAATAAAAATCAATAAAGAAAATACATTTTTTAAAATGTATTTGAATCTTTCTTCTTAAGGCAATGAACTGGACATAGATGTCTTTTCTATCATTGCAAAACAAAAATGTATCTCTTTGGGTTAAATACTTGGCAGGCAATCACTAGGGGGTAAGAAATAAGAGCAAGTACTGGCTCATATATAGAGACTCCTCTGCTGCCCCCTCAGAGTACATGAAAATTAGAAACTGTCAATACTAAAATACAAACCAAAAGTCAGCAATAAGATGCTAAAGTTAATAAAGTAAACACATTCCTTTAAGTCTAAGCTTACCAAGTCCAAAACCAAAGATCATCTTTCCAGCATCATCTGTCACCTCCCAATCCCTCTACTGCAAGTAGCATCAGCATTCCCTAATAACCTACCGATGCTCCTGTGCAATGTTTCTCCCATTTATCCTCATCCTTACCATTTGAATTTGTTTCAGGCTCCCACTATAGCTATCTAATTATGTCCTCTCTCCAAATACATGCCACACACAACTGTTGGGTTAGTTCTTCTAAAGCAATCCTGCTCATATCACTTTCTGTTCAAAAACTATCTATTACTTCCCAATGTCTACTGAATAAAGTCCAAACCCCTTACTTTGATACACCCTGGCGCCTTCCTCATATCCCAAGGTTCAGTGAAACTGAGTTCCTGTTTGCAAACACAATTCCTGACAGCATCTCCCCACCACATCCATCTATGAGCTCATAAGCAAGTCTCAATGTGAACACCCACAGATTAGAATATGAAAAATAAGGTTTGAGAAAAGCCAGGTGATGTATTACACAATTTAAACTATTGGACTTCAACCAGTAGGAAATGGGGGAACCACCAAAGGTTTTTTGGGTTTTTTTTTTTTTTTTCATTTATCTTTAGATAGAGCAGGAGGGAGAAAGGAGAGACAAATCGACTGGCTGCCACCCACAGGACCCCAACCAGGGCTGGGGACAAACTGCAACGGAGGAACGTACCCTTAGCGGAACCGAACCCGGGACTCTCTGGTCCGCTGGCCGGCTCTCAACCTCTGAGCCAAACTGGCCAGGGTCCAGCAAAGATTTTTAAAGTAGGGGAATATCATGATCAAATGCACATTCCAGAAATTTAACTCTATTAAGAAAAATATAGAAAATATTAGTGGCAAGGAAAGACAGAAAACACTATTAAAACAATGCCGGCGCCCTGGCCAGTTTGGCTCAGCGGTTAGAGCAGTGATTCTCAACCTTCCTAATGCCGTGACCCTTTAATATAGTTCTTCATGTTGTGGTGACCCCCAACCATAAAATTATTTTCATTGCTACTTCATAACTGTAATTTTGCTACTGTTACGAATCGTTATCAGAAATGCGTGTTTTCTAGATGGTCTTAGGCGACCCCTGTGAAAGGGTCGTTAACCCCCAAAGGGGTCACGACCCACAGGTCGTGAGAACGGCTGGGTTAAAGTGTCAGGCCGCGGACCAGAGAAACCTGGGTTCCGTTCCCGCTAAGGGCATGTTCCTCGGTTGCAGTTTGTCCCCAGCCCTGGTTGGGATCATGTGGGTGGCAACCAGTAGTTGTATCTCTCTCATATCAATGTTTCTCTCTTTCTCTCTCCCCCCCTCTCTCCCTCCCACTCTATCTGAAGATAAATGCAAAAATGTCCACGAGGATAAAAAAAAGAAAAAAAATTAAAAAAAAAAAAAAGTTTAATGGAAAGTGTATTCAAATGACCACTTCAAATCCACAGCCTGAGTTGTCTTTTCCAAATGCAAATCTGATCACAATTCTTCCTCTGCTTAAAACCCTTCAGTGCTTACTGCTAGTTTTAGGTTAAAGAACAAATTTTGTCACACTTCTTACAAAGCCCTGAGTGGCTAGGCCTCGGCCCACTCCTCCAGTGTTAGTCTGCACCATTCTTTCCCATTCCCCAGCAGTCTTTGCTCTGATCATATTGCCCTTCTTTCAGCTCCTTGAACATGCTATGTTCCTTCCCACCACCACAGGGCCTCTGCAGAGAGTGCTCTTTCCTTGAAGTTTTCTACCTTTAGTTAACTCATCTTTGATATTTTTCCTTAAGTAATTTTGAGCTTCCCCTGACTACCTTCTCTCTCCACTAGGTCAGGTTCTCTGTGAAATATTCTTATACCACTGTGTCCTTTCTCTATATGGCCTCTTTTCAGTTTATTATTAAATTTTTTGTAGTATTCCTGGAGAAATGTCTATCGTACCCACTGGACTATAAATCCCATGAAGACCAGGACAGGCTCTGTTCTATTCACTACTGTATCCCCATCTCTCAGTGCAGGGCCTGGCAGGTTGGTAGTCACAAAAAAAAAAAAAAAAAAAAAAAAAAAGATGAGAAAAGGATCTGCAACAATGTCTTTAAAAGAGTCTAAAGGAATTTCTCTTTTTTAAAAAATTGAAGGAATGAAATAAGCATTTAAAGAGAATAACAGGAAAAAGCCAGAGGACAGGGACAGTGTATTTTGAGGCTCATGGGAAAGGCTAAATCTAATACAGCAAGAACCCTGAAGAATATGTTAAGGGAAAATAACAACAAACACTACATAAACTGAACACTACGTGCCAGACACTGATCTAAATATTCTAAATACATTATCAAATTACTTTAAATCCACAAGTCCTATGAGATATATACTACTATTCTTTTTCCCTTTTTACAGATGAGTAAGCAGATACAGATGATTAAGAAACTTGCCCCAATGTTAAACAGCTGGTAAGTGGCAGATCTGGGGCAGAATCCCAGCTCTGTCTCCAAAGCCAGATGACAAAATCAAGGATATTCTTTATAGAAGAGCCCAATGTTTGAATGAGGCATCTCCTTGTAAAATGCTAAGAAACGCTAGAAGATAACTGGAGTGGGGGAGGGGAGAATCCTTGCCCTGACTGTCTCTGGTCCCCTTCCCAAGAGGCGCGGAGTGAGATGGGGAAGGGACCTTGAGGAGAGAGAAATGTTTGGAGCTGGAGTTGTAAAGAATGGGAAAGACCAGGGAAGAATCATAGTCAACGCCAACTTGACCACTGAAGCATTTATCCTGAAATTCTGCGAATTCTACATTAACATCCGAGTTAAGGCCTACTATGTGTCATGGTTCTAGGCGCTGTGGAGATCAAGAAAATTCTCTAAAACAACCAACATCAATGATCACCTGACACTTGGGAAAACCCACTGCTCCAGAGAATCCCATCCGAAAGCCTCTAAGAGTACATTACAAGACGAGCTTGTTTGGGGGGGGAGAAGAGAGGAAGGAGCGATCGAAAGAGCAACTCCTACGTACGCCCGCCTCCAGCACCAGCCCAGACCCTCTCCAGGGACAAGAGGGACGCGAGTACGAGACCAGAAGCTGCAACCGAGGGCAACGGGAACCCAGATACCTGTGGGCCCCGGACACCAGGCGCACCCACCCCTCACCGATTCGGCCGCTCTCTTCGACTCCCGGGCTCCCCGGACGCCGCCAGCCTGCGCTCGGGACACTACTTCGCCATGCAGCCTCTTCCCCAGCAGCACCATACGGACTGGACCCTGTCAGCAACTTACCCACCCTGCCCGGCCCAAGATAGCCCGGAATCCTTTCGATATAGCGAGGTCTCCCTGGCATCTCTGCCAATGCCAGAGCGCAAGCAGGACGCGGAGGCGGGACTGAGCGCCCATGGCCAATCAGGCCAGACGCAAAGCACGTCCCGGCGCACAGAACTAGTTCCCGCCGTCGGCAGGGACGGGAAAAAAAACACGGTTGGCGCCAAACTCCAGTAGTCTTGGGTGTAAATCGAAGGGAAAGGGGCGGGGCCCGAGCTGGCGGGGAAGTAGAGTGGAGCTTCGCTACCCAAGGGGTGGAACCTCGCCCACGGTAGGGGCGGAGTCTGGGAAAAGCTCTTTTACTGAAAAGGAAAGTAAGCTCTGGGAAGGTCTGGTCTTTAGTCCTTCATTATAAAAATTCTGTTGAGTGTCAGCCACTTGCTAGACATGGTGCTGGGCGCTGGCTCGACACTGTCCTGGATGATAGACGAATATCTTAGCCCAGGGTGTTGGGAGCTGTGAGGGATACGAGTCCAGTATGGGGGAGAGCGACTGGTGAGCTTTTAAAGGGTAAAACACCTGAATAGTCTGAATGAACCAACAGGAACCAGAGGTGAGGTAGGGTCCCGCCTCCGGAGGCGGAGTCTGTGCCATTGGCTGGTGAGGAAGTAAAACAAAGCCAACTTCCTCTGCTACTTCATCTGTGCATCTTCATCTTGATCCAAAAGACCCCCATTTGGGAGAATATGTTTTGGGAGAACACTAGCTTCCTAGATTCTCCCCCAACCAGCTTAGCTTCTAAGAAGTTAGACACTTAGGCATTCCAGGTGATGGAGAATGGGAAAGAGTAAAGGGTTGCAACCACAAAGCGTTCATTGTTGGTGGAGCAGAAAGACTGGAGAAGGAAGCAGGAGTCAGAACTTGAAAGGCCATGTTTATGTAAGAGAGCTTGGAATTTACCTTTAAATGATGATGCATGGGGACCTCTGAAAGATTTTAAGCTTGAGGTTATCATGATCTGATTTGCATTATTAAGATCCTTTGGCCTGGAGGAGGATACTGAAATGCTCTTGTAGTGATCCAGGCTACAGAAAATGAGGATCTGAAGGAGATGGTAGGTTAAAAAAAGGGGGGGATAGATTCTAGAATATTTAGAAGATAAAATGGACAAAACTTAGCAAATGATTCAACATTGGCTTTCAGCATAGCATTAATAAAAAAAATATTTGTTGAGAACATAGCATATATACTTCAAAAATAAGTAAAGATTTCTCCCAAAATTATCTTCCCAAAGAGTGACCTTTTTATTGAAGTCATTACAAAGACTCATTTCACTATTATTCTCTTAAATACTTTACGTTGAATAAAATGTAGTGATTGGTTTTAAAATATTCACTTGGAAAGATCTCAGTCAGCGCCAATTTGGGATACTTGTGGAAGTCAACTGAAGAAATCAGTATTTTTGTAAAGGAAACAAAGAAATGTAACACAGTCACCATATTTTATGGAGTCAAAACTCACAGTGGCAAATTGCTGTAAAAAAAAAAAATTCCTCAAGATGTCTATGTACTCACATGAGGGAATCTATGAGACATAGTGTTAAGGGAGGAAAAAAGTACAGTGCAGTGTACATGGTATGCCAGCTTTTTTTTAAAAAACTAAGCAAACCCACCTTTTATTTATTTATTTATTATTTATTTATTTATTTATTTATTTATTTATTTATTTATTTTTATCCTCACCTAAGGACATTTTTCCATTTTTGTTCAGGTAAAGTGGGAGGGAGAGAGAGGAAGAGAGAGAGAGAGAGAAACATCGATGTGAAAGGGACACATCGAGTGGCTGCCTCCCGCACGACCCCAACCGGGGCCAGGGACAAACTGCAACTGAGATATGTGCCCTTAGTGGGAACTGAACGCAGGTCTCGCTGGACCGCAGGCCGGCACTCTAACCATTGAGACAAACCAGTCAGAGCTTATGCCAGCTTTTGTGTAAGAAAGCACGAGGAAAATAACATACATATATTTGCTTATTTTGTGTAAGAAACACTTGACAGGTAAATTAGAACCTAATAAAAAGAGTAACTTGCCTTGGCCGGTTTAGCTCAGCGATTAGAGCGTTGGCCTGCGGTCCAGAGAGACCTGGGTTCGGTTCCTGCTAGGGGCATGTACCTCAGTTGCAGTTTGTCCCCGGCCCTGATTGGGTTGTGTGGGTGGCAGCCACTCGATGTGTCCCTTTCACGTCGATGTTTCTCTCTCTCTCCCTCCCACTCTATCTGAACAAAATATCGAAAAATGTCCTCGGGTGAGGATTAAAAAAAAAAGCTGTATAGTAGTCCATTGTGTAAATGTACAACAGCTTAAAAAAAAAAAAAAAGAGTAACTTATAGGAGAAAAAGACTGGCTGGAGGGGATAGATAGGTAGGGAGACTTCTTGCAGTATTTTTTTTTTAACCTCCATTTAAGTATTTTAATATTCAAATTGAATGGCTTTTTAAAATTTTATTTTAGAGAGAAAGGAAGGGAGAGGGAAAGAGAGAGAAACATTGATGAGAGAAAACATCCATTGGCTGCTTCCTGCATGCCCCCCACTGGGGATCGGCCCACAACCTGGACATGTGCCCTGACCAGGAATGGAACCCGTGACCTCCTGGTGCATGGGTTGATGCTCAACCACTGAGCCACATTCGCTGGGCGAATGGCTCTTTTTTTTAATAACAGCTTTATTGAGATATAATTCACACACTATATATTTCACCTATTTAAAGTGCAGAGTTTGGCCCTGGCCAGTTTGGCTCAGCGGTTAGAGCGTCAGCCTGTGGTCCAGAGAGACCCGGGTTCAGTTCTGCTAAGGGCATGTACCTAGGTTGCAGTTTGTCCCCGGCCCTGGTTGGGTCGTGCGGGTGGCAGCCACTCGATGTGTTCCTTTCACGTCGATATTTCTCTCTCTCTCCCTCTTGCTCTATCTGAATAAAAAATGGAAAAATGTCCTCGAGTGAGGATAAAAAAAAAATTGATAAACAAATAAAGTGCAGAGTTTGCCTTTTTGTAATATTTTATTTTGAATCATGTTAGTGTTCCTTATTCAAAGATTGAATTAAATCAGAAAGACAAAGCCCTAAATGGAAAATAAATGGAAATAAATGAAACTGTGTAAACAAGAGAAATATAATTCATTCATACAGAATAATTATTTCAAGTGACATTTGAACATAGTGCTCTGACTGTACATCGTTAGTGGGATACAGTCTAAGGACAAAAAGAACTACAAAGAAAGTTTATACTTCATGCAATAGTTTTATTGTTAGCATTAATATTGCAATTTTGAAACCATGCATGTATATGATAGGATAAAGAAATATATAATATGTTAATATTTCAGGAGCCAAGATATTTAGTGAAAGAGAAAAGAGATCTAAACATAAAATCAAGCCCAGCCGATTTGGCTCAGTAGATTGAGCATCATCCCATGGACTGGGTGGTCCAGATTCTATTCCTGGTCAGGACACATGCCTGGTTGCTGGCTGCATCCCCAGTAGGGGGTGTGCAGAAGGTAGCCGATGGATGTTTCTATCTCTCTTCCTCTCTCTCTAAACAAATAAAATAAAAAATTTAAATATATATAAATTTAAAAAGAAACATAAAATCAAGAAAGTTAAGGGGGAAATTCTATACTATTATATGTGAACTGGAAATGTCAACATGAACTCATGTTCTTTTTTTCAGTTTGAAAGCAGTCACTGTTTATTAACTGACCAGATTATAAAAACAACCATGATAGATAACTTAATCCTTCTAATAAGTCTGTTGATCTGGTCTTCCCTGTGCCCAGCATCTCCACCTTCTACAAAATGAGTGGTTTTTAAACACTTTGTAAAGCTAATTTAAAGGGCCACAGGAAGTTGTTGGATTTTTTTAAGCATTTTCCAACTGTGTAGATTTCATGAATCAGATCCTCCACGCAGATGATGCATATTTCTTATTTCTGTTCCCCCAGTAGCAATAACATACCTAAAACCTAGGTCATTATTTCTAAATACAAGTTTCCCACGAAAAGGAAGATCACCTACTGGGACTCCCCTTTGTCTCAACAGGTCAATCCCTAAGGGCAGAGGAGGAGTATATCCAAAAGAGAAGTGTAAGATTTTCAGTAATTCTGAATGTAGGTACTAGTGGATAGGGTTAACATTTCCTGTGATAGCATTATATATAATTGCAAAAAAAAATTTTTTTATCCTCACCTGAGGACATTTTTTTTGTTTGCATTTATCTTCATATAGAGCGGGAGGAAGAGAGAAAGAGAATCATCAATGTGAGAGACACACATTGAGTGGTTGCCACCCATAGGACCCCAACCAGGGCCGGGGACAAACTGCAACCGAGATATGTGCCCTTAGTGGGAACTGAACCTGGGACTCTCTGGTCTGCGGGCCGACACTGTAACTCTTGAGCCCAACCGGCTGGGGCGGAAAAAATTATTTTAATCCTCACCAGAGAACACATTAATGTTAGAGAGAGGAAGAGAGAAACATGGATGTGAGAGAAAAACATGGATCAACTGTTCCCCCATGCACCCATACAGACCACAACCAGGATCAGACCTGAAACCTAGGCATGTGCCGTGACCAGGAATCGAACCCATAACGTCCTGGTGAATAGGATGATACTCCAACCAACTAAGCCTCCCAGCCAGGGCTAGATAAAAAAATTTTTATTTCTTTTACTGAAATAATTTAGATGAAAGTGCTCTGGAAAATTTTGTTAGAAATCTCAAAAAGCATATCTAGTTTTGGTAGATAAAGATGGAAGTTGAAAAGTCCTTGCTACTCATCCATTGAGAAGTGGAGTCTAATTTACAACCCCTTAGATCTGTGCTGGCTTTAGTGGTTCGCTTTACTACAGAATGCAAGGTGAGTAATGTTCTTGGACTTCCAAGTTTAGAACATAAGAATCTTTGTGTTTTCTACCCTGGCCTGTGTGGCTCAGTTGGCTGAGTGTCGCCCCGTGCACCAAGAGGTCGCCAGTTTGATTCCCAGTTAAGGTACATGCCTGGGTTTCAGACTCTATCCCCAGTAGAGGGCATGCAGGAAGTGGCAGATTGATGTTTCTCTCAATCTCTCCCTCTCCCTTCCTCCTTCTCTCTAAAAAAACCACATTTTAAAAAAAGAAAAATCTTTGCAGTTTCTATCTAGGCTTATCTTTTAGTTTCTATCTATGCTTCTTTCTCTCCCTGTCTTTGTCTCTCTCTCTCTCTCTCTGAACTCCAAGATACCATGTTCCACTTTACAATTCCAGTTATTACTGCCAAGACACCAGATATGTGACTGAAGCCATCTTAAACCCTTAAGACCAGCCTATCCAGTAAATGACCTCATGGAGCAGAATAATTTCCAGCTGAGCCCTGCCCAAATTTCTGAACCCCCAAAATTGTAAAATATGTTTTGATACAGCATTAGATAACTGGAACAGTAGTGGTAATAAAACAAAATAATGTAGAGTTTTATTAAAATCATACCCTTGCTGGTTTGGCTTAGCAGTTGGAGCGTTGGCCTGCGGACCAGAGTCCTGGGTTTGGTTCCTGCTAAGGGCACGTACCTGGGTTGCAGTTTGTCCCTGGCCCTGGTTGGGGCCATGTGGGTGACAACCAGTCAATGTATCTCTCTCACATTGATGTTTCTCTCTCTCTCTCTTCCTCCCTCTCTCCCTCCCACTCTATCTGAAGATAAATGCAAAAATGTCCTCGGGTGAGGATAAAAAAAAAAATCATTACATAAAATGTGAGAATGGAAAGGCAGAAGAGAACCATGTTTGATGAACTTACATTAATAATCACTTCCATTTACATAATACAGTTAATTAAATTCCCTTCAATATTTTAAAGTCGGTTTATAAACATAACACAATTGATCTTTTTAAAATTTATTTTTGTTACAGCTGTTTCTCTCTTTTATAAAATATTTTTCTTTATTGATTTTTAGAGAGAGAGGAAAGGAGAGAGAGACAGAAACATCGATGAGAGAGAACATCAATTGGCCACCTGTTGCATGACCCCCACTGGGGATTGGGCCACAACCAGGGCATGTGCCCTGACCGGGACTTGAACTGGAGACCTCTTGATGCATGGGTCAACGTTCAACCAGTGAGCCACACCAGCCAGGCTATATCCTCATTCTTAAAAACAAATAAGTGACTAACACTGTTTCATCTTGGGTTCAAACCTGGTTAGTGGCAACATGGCTAAACGCATCAAGAAGGTTGGAATCATTGGTAAATACGGAACCCGTTATGGTGCCTCCCTCAGGAAAATGGTGAAGGAAATTGAAATCAGCCAGCATGCCAAGTACACTTGGTCCTTCGGTAGCAAAACCAAGATGAAGAGATAGGCTGTAGGGGTGATTCCTGCATGAAGATAGTCGCTGGTGGTGCCTGGACCTACAATACCACTTCTGCTGTCACAGTCAAGTCTGCCATCAGAAGACTGAAGGAATTGAAAGACCAGTAGAAGCTCCACAGTTTGAAACATTGCTAGTCTATAATAATTGGGTTAATTTATATATTTTTAAAAAGCAAAATTAAATAAACAAAATGTTAAAACCTGCAAACAAATCTTAATTTCCATTAGTAAAGTTTGTTGTTTATAGTAATATAAATATCACAATTCTGAAATTATATTGCATGTATTTATTGTAAAATTGAGAAATAAAGAAATATGTTGATTATTGTGGGAGCAGAGTTCTCACTATGGGAGAAGGATGATACAAATATGGAATGTAGGAAGGCAAGGTAAAATCCTGTCATTTTTTTTTTTTTTATCCTCACCCGAGGACATTTTTTCATTTTTTGTTCAGATAGAGCAGGAGGGAGAGAGAGGAAGAGAGAGAGAGAGAGAAACATCAACATGAAAAGGACACACCAAGTGGCTGCCACCCGCACGACCCAACCAGGGCTGGGGACAAACTGCAACCGAGGTATGCCCTTAGCGGGAACCAAACCCGGGTCTCTCTGGACTGCAGGCCGACGCTCTAACCGCTGAGCCAAACCGGCCAGGGCAAATCCTGTCATTTTTATTAAATTAAAGGTATCAGTATGAACATAATGATTTGAATACATATATCTATATACACACATATACAATATATATCTATATATTCATGTTTCCTAGCTGTGAAAGGGTCTAGAAGCAGTGATGTCCCAATAACAATGAGTGCTCATAGTGTCTAGATCTTAGTCTCTAAATATGATTCCTTATTAAATGGAACTCCTTAGAGATATGTATGATCCAGGAATGGGGCAGGAGGGTGAAAAAGATGATCCTGTAATACCTGTTGTACCAGAAGGTAAGAAAGTCTTCAAAATATAATGGGGACATGCCCAAGGACAAGTGCTTATAGGTGAGCCTGGTACATGAAACCCTCTGAAATCGTTTGCAAAAATTATGAATTGGTACATTTTTCTGGGTAAAAAAAATGTCCCTAGCTTTCAACCAGGTAAAACTATTTATAATTCATATAGTTGACAAAAATTATATCCAGGATATACCCCCACACACAAAAACAAATCACACACACTCACAAATCAACAACTGAGATCCCACTTCTAATTTATTTATTTTTAATCCTCACCCGAGGACATTCTTTTGCATTTATCTTCAGATAGAGTGGGAGAGAAGGAGGGAGGAAGAGAGAGAAACATCGGTGTGAGAGAGACACATTGACTGGTTGCCACCCACATGACCCCAACCGGGGCCAGGGACAAACTGCAACCGAGGTCTATGCCCTTAGCGGGAACGAACCGGGACTCTCTGGTCCGAAGGCCGACGCTCTAACCGCTGAGCAAAACCAGCCAGGGCTAACTTATTTTTTTAATCCTCATGTGAGGATATGTTTTTCATCGATTCTAGACCTATATCAGTGTTGATTACCAGTCCCTGGTGATAAGGATGTTCTCTTATTCCTGGTATGGGAAGGACACTTTTCTCATGGGCAGTTTTATGACTTTTAAGTAGAAAAGGGAGGAGTGGTCAGAGAGCACTTCCTGCATTTGCTGTTTCTAAAGTGCCTTTGGCTTAAAATAATTATTTAGAACTTTCTTGAGGTATAATTTACATATACCTTAAAACTTGCTCATTTTAAGTATGCAATTCAGTAATTTTAGTAAATTTATAGACTTATGCCATCATTACCACAACGCAATCTAAGAACATTTCCTTCACCCAAAAATGTTGCTCATGGTTGTTTGCAGTCAATCCTCTCTGCCACTCCCAAACCCAGGTAACCACTGATGTGATCTGTCAATGCAGTCACTCCAGAGCCATTAATGTTCCTGCTGCTGCCCAGCTGAAAGTCTTGAGATTTTTCTCAAGAGTCATCCTGAGTATTCTTTTTACATTTTTCTTGTGTTGAATCTCTCATTTCCTAGATCTCATGTTTCCTCTTTTTTGGTTTACACCCTCATATAAAGGACACCTGTTTCAACAGACTCCTGAGAAAGGATGTGTAGGGAGGAAAAATTATTTTCCCTCTACCCTCCTAAGTTTTTGGCTGAGACCCCTGTAATAAGACAGATTGACAAGAGAAAAACACACAGAAGTTTATTAACATGTACACTTCATATATACATGGGAGATACTCAGGGGAAAAAATCATTAACTCAAGTGCAAGTAATTTTCATCCACTGTTCGACGTCCGCAGGGAACCCATTTAATCTTGGAATTTTAAAAATATTATTTATTTGGAAATGTTTTCTACCCTATTTTCACAGTTCATTCATTCTCAAAGTTCTGTCTTTGAGTTTGAGTTCCCCCAGAAGTAAACATTAAAACACTAGGAAAAAAGTTCAAATTTAAATACATTTTTAAAAGGTTGAATCAATACAATACAGTGTACAGATGATGTGTTGTGGAATCGTGCACCTGAAACCTGTATACTTTTGTTAACCAGTGTCACCCCAGTAAACTCAATAAAAAGAAAAAAACAAGGTTGAATCATAGTACCCTATATGCTTGCTGTTGGAGATCTGCCCATGTCAGTACAGAAACATCTACCCCCTCTTAAAACAATTTTTAGAAGTATAATTTACACAAAGTGCACAAATCTTGTGTGCAGTTTTTTTTTTTTAATCTACTAGAATAACCATCACCCATTGCAAGATAATGAAACCTTCCGGTCACCCTAAGAGGTTCCCTCAAGCCCCTTTGCAGTCAACTCTAAAGGCAACCATTGGCCTGACTTTACATTATTTTGGTTTATCCTCAAACTTCATGTAAACGTATTTTTATGTACTCTTCTCCACTTTAAAATTTTTATTTACTGATATTTAGAGAGAGAAATGATATGTTGTTCTCCTTATTTACTCACTCATTGGTTGACTCTTGTATGTGCCCTGACCAGAATAGAACCCGCAACCTTGACGTAGGGGGAGAACGCTTTAACCTACTGAGTACCCGGCCACGGCCTACTCCACTCTTTTTAACGGAATATTCCATAACGCACACACCATACTTTATTTAAACATTCCCCAACTGAACACCTATTTCCAATATGTATGTTAAGAATGCTGCAAGCGGGGATGATTGTCATGCTTGGGCGCGCATTTCCGTAGGCTAGAGGCATAGAACTGCCGGTTCCAGGATGGGCGAATCCGCTTCTCTCCCCTATCAGATCTTTCTGCGTGCAGAGGCGGAGGGAGGCGCGGAGGGCGAACGCTACACGCCCCTAGGGTCTCGCGCGCTTCTCCATCTTGGGGGACTCTCTTGTCTCGTCCTGTTACGCATTGTCTCCACAGTTCCCATCACCAGGCTCTGGACCTGGCTCGAACAAGCAAGTTCTGCTTGAATTCCCCCACTGGAACTGGCACAGCAGGGACGCCAGGCGTTTCCGCTGCCGAGGGGGTGGGGTCGGGCCGGACCGTCCTGCCGTCGCCGTCGGCGTCGCGGGCTGATGACGCAGAGCGCCGCGTGCTCCCCCACGTGTGCTGCAGCTCTCCCGGTGCTCGCGGCGCTGAGGCGGCCGCTCTTCCTGGCTTGGGGGGGCGTAGTTGGGGGCAGCTCCGGCTCGGGAACCCCGTGGCTCTGCGGCTCTGAGCGTGAAGCCGGGAGCGCCTCGTGTCCTGGGATAGAGGACCCGCGGTCATGGAGCACCTTTCGCTGGAGGTAGCGGCCGCGCCACTGCGTTTAATCGCTGCCAAGAACGAGAAGAGCCGTAGCGAGCTGGGCAGGTTCTTGGCCAAGCAGGTAAGAACCCGAACCAGAGGGAAAACGCCCGGCCGACCCCGGCCGCCCTGTTCGCGCGTGCCCCGCGGCCCTGCGCGGTGACGTCCTGCTTTAAAGGGAGAGAGAAGGGGCGTCTTGTCATTCTGGCCGCTTCCCCTGGGCTGGCCAGTGGCGAAGCCGTACGCCCGTGTTTGAGGAGCTTAGAAAGAGTCTTTGTTTTTCATTTGGGGAGCCTTCCCTTTCTTTCTCCACTGACCCCCATGCAGCGCTTTGACCCCGTGGGGCAGACATGGCCTTCGGAAAGAAATGTGGTTTGTTTTTCCGTAAATGAGGTGGAAGTCTGTCCTTTCGCCATGTGTGTTACTTAAGTGTCCCGGATCCAGACACCCGTGTTTGTTTGGATTAATGTTTTTCCTTTTTGCCCTCTTCATTCTTTTCGATCCTTTGAAAAGTATTGATTGCGTTCCCGCTGTATCTAAGGCACTGTGTGATTTTGTGGGGGAGACGTAAATAAAGCTGTCACAATCTCTGTCCCTAGGGAATTTAACATCTATTTTTGGAAACAGTTCATAAACAGAAAACAACTGAAGTAAAAAGCAAGACAGTTAGGGATAACTGCGTGGTACCATAGTAATTATGAAGTAAATTAGAGTATTCTGGGAAATGGGTTTTGGGCGTTTTAAGAGCCTTTTCTCATTGATCTCCCTCCCACTCCTCCACCCCCCCCCCCCAGTCTGAGTTCGGGGGCCCTCATCATACATTTTTTCACTTTGGATGGTTGAATTGATTTTTTTTTTTTTTTTTTTTTTTTTTAGTGAGGAAGGTAGTGATAGAAACATCCATCACTGCCTCCTGCACACCCCCTACTGGGGATCTGCCCTCAACCTGGGCCGGTGCCCTGACCGGAATCGAACTGGGACCTCTCAGACCATGGGCGGACACTCAGTCCACTGAGCCACACCAGCCTGCTTACTTTGTATTTTAACTTTCTATTTATGCTTACCCACCCCTAGTATCTGTGAGCTTCTTCATAATAGAATATATATTTTTCTAACTCCAGTATCTATAACTTAGTCACAAATGCATTGGCTGTTTATATCCCATTGCTTAGGAAGCTATGGCAGTATTTTGGGTCTGGAGGGGCAGGGGACTAACATGAGAGGCATTTATGTTAGGAGACAACGCATGAACACGTGAAACAAAGAGGAGGAAGGAGTGGAAAATATCTCGTGTTTCTGGCCTGTGAGCCCCCAGTGAAGGGAATTGCTAACAGTGGGGAGGTCTAGAAAGAA